ATGGGGGTGGACGCATGCCCCGTTGCCCCGCGCGGGCGTCCAGGCGGAGCGCCGCCAGGGACCCGGAATCGGCTGACATCGAACGGCTTGCGCTGCCCGAAGTGTGCGATCGCTCAGGCCTGCACGGCTGCGCGGTGTCAGAGGCCGCTGCGCAGGTCGTCGCGACACGAACTGGCCGCACCCCCTGATGGGCGTGTTTTCCACCACCACCACCATGAGTTGGAGAGGGGGGGTCCTCCTCCTCCTCCTCCTCCTCCTTCTCCTCCTCCTCCTCCTCCCTCCAACTTATGGTGGTGGTGGTGGAAAACACGCCCATCACCCCCGTCTTCGCCGCTGCGCCGTCGCCCCGCGCCGGCGGTGCCGCGCGGGCGCAGTGGCCTGGGCGGAGCGGCGCCGGCCGGGCGCAGGGCGCGCGCCGACCGCCGCGCGCGCCGGCGCGATGGGGCTCGAGGACTCGCCGAGGGACGTCTCGGGTCGGGCGAAAGGGGGGGATTGGGAAAGGGGGGGTTACGAAATTTGCTGCATGCCGTTGGTTTCGGCCTCACCGAGGGGCCCATTCCTCGATACATGGGCGCCTCCTGGCGCCGGGAGGCGCCGGGAAAATCAGCTACGTGAGCTGATTCTCAAACCCCCCCTTTGCTATCCCCCCCTTTCGCCCGACCCGAACGTCTGCCCGGGGCTGGACGCCACCAAGTCGCCGAACGACCGCAGCACATGTTAGGATGCAGTGCCTGGGAGGTCTCGCTCAGCATCAGCGCCGGCATGTCCGTGGTACACCTCAGGCGATGCTTAAGAAAACTCAAGTTTTCGGCCAGGGTCTCGATTATTCTTAACGTTTCAATGTAAATCTTAAGATTTGAATGGAAATGTTGGGTTTTTATTCAAGTTCTGAGACTATGAATTTCTTAACCCATGATTTCTTAAGCATTTCGCAGGGTGTAGACAGCCGGCCGCATCCGGGCGAGTCCGCAGAGTCCCGCTTCCGCTCAATCCCTGTTGATCCGATCTGGTTCGGCTTAATCTGGGGTTTGTTCCTGGCTGGTCGGGCTTTGTGGCCCCAGTCGGGCCCAATTCGCCATGAAGACAGCGGGTCTTGAGGAAAACGGGTCCTTCTGTTTTTCGCCGTGTTTGGTAAGGGTTGGTCTTGGGGCAAGGCCCCAGGGTCCAGGACCCGTTTCCCTCAGGTCCATTGTTTTGCCAGCTGATACAGTCAACTATGATAGTAAGGATGGGGCAACCTTCCAAGGCTACCCTTGCATCCCTTGCCCCTTCGATGTTCAGCATCCTTCGGCATTGTGCCGCGCTCCGCACGGAAAACGTCAACATGGCGCTCCAAGGCCCTTGCATCCTCATCGCGCATCCTTCCTATCCTGGTCGAGTGCAGTCGTTAGGCCGACGATTTCCCAGAAGTTGCCTCCTAAAGATACCGCCTCCTGCGGCTGGCGAACGGGATAGAGGTTGATGGGCCTGTTTTCCACCACCACCACCACCATGAGTTAGAGGGGGGAAGGATGTGGAGGAGGAGGAGAAGAAGGAGGAGGAGGAGGACCCCCTCCCCCTCCAACTCATGGTGGTGGTGGTGGATAACCGGCCCATCGGAGGTGCTGCTGGTGGCCAGCTCGGACGACAGGAAGCAGAAGGCCGCCTGCGCCTGCAGCGTCCAGGTGGGCTCCTTCAGCGACCCGCACGGGCCGGGCGAAAGGGGGGCGTTGGGAAAGGGGGATTACGAGATTTGCTGCATGCCGTTGGTTTCGGCCTCACCGAGGGGCCCATTCCTCGATACATGGGCGCCTCCTGGCGCCGGGAGGCGCCGGGAAAATCAGCTACGTGAGCTGATTCTCAAACCCCCCCTTTGCTATCCCGCCCTTTCGCCCGACCCGACCCGCGCGGCCAGTGCGAGGGCCTCGCGCACTACTGCGAGCACATGCTCTTCCTCGGCAGCCGGAAGTACCCCGGGGAAGCCATGTTCGAGGAGCTCTGCTCCCCAGAGATCCAGAGTATGGAAAAAGACACGACAGAGTTTTTTCGCAGTGTTCGGCCTCTAGGGGCCCTTGCCGGGCGTCGGGACCGTCAAAAAACGACTCAGGATGAAGAACCGGTCCTGGGGAAGAGGTCGAGACTTCCTGGGGCCCCGTATTGAAAAAATCACGACATCGGATCTCTGGGTCTAGGCCTCCTGGATGGGGTCGGAGTAGACGGGGTCGGAGGATCGCGCCGCATCGCCGATGCATCACCGGTGCGGCTCGATGTAGGGCCCGATCTTCTCCACTTCGACGTCGCCGATGCATCGTCATCGTCGACGTCGCCGGTGCATCGCCGATGCATCGCCGATACATCGGCGATGCATCGGCGATGCGGCGACCCCATCTACTCCGACCCCATCTAAGAGGCCTCTATCTTCTGCAGCCGCTATCGAACCCTACCGCTGCGGGTCCAACCGGTGCTGGGGTATCGGACACATTCCCTGGGGTGCACCTGGCTGCAGATAGTTGTCCTTCATATTCTGAATCACAACCGATGTTTCAGAAATCTGACCTGCAGGCTGCAGGGGTAGGGCTTGCATGTGGTTGCCTGGTTCTGGGAAGGCTTCGGGTTGCGCACAGACAGCTCCCATACGGTAGGCCCTGCTGGACTCCGCAGGCCCCCCCCCCCCCCGAATTCTTAGTCCAGGGCGGTCTCAATACTACTCTGGCGTGGCCGCCTCCAACCAGGTGCGCTCCGCGCCCCCCAGGGTTGGGGTGTTGAGACCGCCCGGGACTATTCGGGGGGGCTGTTGAGGCCACCCGGGACCTTAGTGGGCCCTGGAAACGACAGGGCCGTTTTTGTTACCGGTTCCGTTTTGCAGTTTTTTTGCCGGTTCCGACGCCGTTTTTTACCGGTTCCGTCGCCGTTTTTTGACCGGTTCCGGCTCCGGTTCCAATCCTGGAGCCGTTTTTTTTTTTACCTTTTCGGGTCGCCGTTTTTTTCGCCGTTTCCATTTTCAAGGGACATTTTTCTGGAAACGGTGAAAAAACGGCCCTGCCGTTTCCGGGGTCCACAAAGGCAGGGACTGCCTGGGGGGTCTGTCTTTGCGCAGCCCGAAGTTTTACCAAGGAGTTTCTCTCCGAGAACGGCGGCTACTCGAACGCCTACACCGAGTGCGAGTACACGTGCTACTACTTCGAGGTCAACCGCAAGGCCCTGCACCCCGCGCTGGACATGCTCGCGCAGCTGCTGCACGAGCCACTGTTCACCGAGGACAGCTCCGCGCGCGAGCTGGAGGCCATCGAGTCCGAGTTCCAGAAGAAGAAGCATTCGGACGGCACGAGGACGGAGACGCTCTTCGCCACCATGGCCAGGATCTTGGCCTCTCAGACAGGGTTAGAGTACTTAGATGGGGTTGGAGGATCGCGCCGCATCGCCGATGCATCGGCGATGCGGCTCGATGTTGAGCCTGGTATCCTCCGCGCCGGCAGGGCCCGATGCACTGCCGACGTCGCCGATGCATCGATGCATCGGTGATGCGCCGACGATGCGGCGCACTCTCCCGAGCCAACCCCACTCCGACCCCCTGTGGGAGGCCTCCTACAGTCAGAACGTGGATTACCTACCCCGCTTTCGCTTCCAGGCAAAACCAAGTCATACCACGCGCCTCCTCGTCAGCGGCCTGACCAGTACAGGCCGTAGTTTGGCATCGCTTGGTATCTCTTGGAATCGAGTGTGGTCAAAAGCGAGGTAGGTTTGTTTACCCTCTATACAGGAGCGACCACCCCTGGACGCTGTTCGGCTGGGGCAACCTGCAGAGCCTCAGGGACGAGCCGGCCAGCAAGGGCGTCAGCCTGCACTCGCAGCTGCGGGCCTTCTACGAGGCAGGGCTGGGCCGGAACGGTGTGTTGGCGATGCCGTGGGCCGTTGTCGTTTCGGCGTCGTTTTGCGGTAGAGGCGGACTGAAGACAAAACGAGGGAGAACGAAAGCAAAGCGAAAACGAAGAACACCGTTTAGGTTCGGCCCTGACGAGGATCAAGGGGCCCAAGGACACACACATAAATACACACAAATAACAGGATCCCCTGCATCTCCCCATAGTTTCTGGGTTTTGGCTGCCTCCCCACTTCCCATCTTTTTTCCCAGATGTTCTAGGGTTTTTGTCTTCCCCCCCACTTCCCATAGTTGCCCATACCTTCTTGGGGAGTCGACGATTCACTGTGTCTGTGTGCCTTGTTCTGCCTCCGGAGAGGAGCACTACAAGCCCAGCCGCATGCGGGTGTGCGTCTTCCCGGAGGAGGGCCCGCGGAGGCAGCGGCGGCTCTCTTGCGCCCGGCCCGGCGCCCGCCCGGCATCGGGCCCCGGACCCCCCTCCCTGAAGCAGTGGCGGAGCGTCCTGGCTCGCCCATCTCGGGCCGGGCGGAAGGAGGAGGAGGAGGAGGAGGAGGGGGAGGAGGGGGAGGGGGAGGGGGAGGAGGGGGAGGAGGAGGAGGAGAAGGAGGAGGAGGAGGAGGAGGAGGAGGAGGAGGAGGAGGGCCATCAAAATCGGGCCGAACGAAAGGGGAGGATAGGGGAAGGGGGGGATAGGGAAAGGGGGGGGTAACGAAATCTGCTGCATGCAGCTGGTTTCGGCCCCGCCGAGGGGCCCCTTCCTCGATACATGGCCGCCTTCTGGCGCCGGGGGGCGCCGGGAAGATCAGCTGCGTGAGCTGATTCTCACCCCCCCCCCTTTGCTATCCCGCCCTTTCGCCCGACCCGTCCGCCCATGGGCCTACCATTAGGTCGGGCCTGTCCTTCTACAGGGGGGATTTTCAAAGATTGTCCTAACAAAAAGTCTGGGGACTATTTTCTGAGCATGTTTGGGCATTTTTTGAGGACTTTTAGGGTATTTGTTTTATAATTAGTCGCCCAAAATCCCGTTGTAGGGGGACACGCCCGACTTAGCCTGCCAAATAATGTTCTAAGAACCTTTTGGGGTTTGCGCGAAATGCTCTTAGAACATGGCTGTCTTGGACGGTTCTGTTTTAACACATCGGGTGTTTGGTTATAAGACAGCTTTTTTGTTCTTAGAACATTTTTGGGTTCGAAGAACATGTCGTGGCAGGCCTACAGGAATGCTGGGACTGTCGGTCCCTGCTCAATTCCCGGTTTCCGTCGTGGCCCCTTTTTCGACGCGGGCCCAGCCGTGGCTTCGAGAATCCTCGAGAAAGAGAGGAAACCGGGGACGTCAGAAGTGCGTCGGGATGGTACAGCAATCCGCTGTGGTACAACTCTAGGGGCTCCGCTGCGAAACGAGGGTGAATGTCAGAGGAACGCGTACTCCTGTTCCAGTCGGGTTGACCCAAACGGGGTCCAGCGACAAGGGGGTGGTGCAATGGATCTGGTGCAATAGATTTGTGAAGTTGCAGTACTTTGGGGGCGTGCAATACACTCCGGGGCGCCAATGTGTTGCTAGATTTTCGGGCGCAATGCATTACTTGCAATACAATGCAATACAATTCTCTGGCGCAATACATTCTCAATACAATTGTCTATTGCACCACCCCCTTTCAGCTTGGCTCCCGTTTGCCGAGCATGTTCTTCGGGTGGAGGGCAAAGCGTGAAATCCGAAATGCCGTTTCGACGGGTGCTCGAGGCTGGAAGCTGCAGAAGGATAATTAAGCACAGGGCGGATCGAGGTTCGAGGTGCACAGGCCCGAATGGACTTCACCCTGAGCCCTCCACCTCGGGGAAATGCCCAGTTTTGGTAGGGGGCCACACGCGAACCCTACCCCTACCCCCCCCCCCACGATTTCTGAGGGGGAGGGTGGGGTTCACTTCGTCTGGGAGCTCCCGAGCGAAGGGAACCCCACCCTGCCCCCCAGCAATCGTGGGGGGTAGGGGGTGGGGTTCGCGTGTGGCCCCCCCGGTTGGGCCACCCACATCCAGGGCCCCAGCGGATCTCGAAGCAGGCCCACAGAGGCCCAGAGGAGGACACGAGAGCATTGCCCCGGGGGGGGGGGCCGCCGTGGGCTCGACGGGGCTCCTCCTCCGGCCTTCGGCGTGGAGAGCCTGGACGCCCTGCAGGAGGCCGTCGTGCAGAGCTTCTCGCCCATGTGATCGTTGTTTTAGCCCTTGTTTTGCCGATCGGCGCGGGCCCTCGCACCCCCTCCCCCCTCCCCCTATCCCCCCCTCCCATGGAGTAGATCTTGGCTGTCTTTGGCGCGCTGGCTTCACTCCGGCAGGTGGAGTCTCCCCCCTACAGCGCGCACTGCTGCAAGCAGTCGCATTAAGCAGAGGTCCAGAGCCAGACCCCCTCGCTCCCCCCCCTCCCCCTTCATCCTCTTCCCTCCTCCTCATCCTCCTCCCTCCTCCCTCCTCCTCCTCCTCCTCCTCCTCCTCCTTCTCCTCCTCCTCGTCCCCCTCCCTCCTCCTCCTCCCTCCTCCTCCTCCTCCCTCCTCCCTCCTCCTCCTCCTCCTCCTCCTCCTCCTCCTCCTCCTCCTCCTCCTCCTCGTCCTCCCCCTCCTCCCCCTCCTCCTCCTCCTCCTCCTCCCCCTCCTCCTCCTCCTCCTCCTCCCTCCCCTTCCGCCGATTGTCGAAACGCCGGATAAAAGAAACGCTCACCGTCGCGGCGTGCCCGGGCGTCGGGGACCTCGACTTCGCGGCCTGCGGGCTGCCGCTCGCGCCGGGCCAGCTGCCGAGGCCGCAGGCCTCCCAAAGGGGGCTGCAGAGCGGACTTGGCGTTAAGTCGGGCGTGTCCCCCCACAGGGGGACTTTCTCTGAAACCTATGGGGACTTTCGACGAAAAGATATGGTAAACTATGGGGAATTTTTTGTTACGCGAGAAACCTCCGCCGTGATTTTTTCAATGCGTTGGCGCGTTGGATCTCTGCGCTCCATCGCGCTGGCGACGCCCTCCACCGCGCCCGCTGCCACCAGGGCGGCAGGGAGGCCCTGGCATTAAGTCGGGCGTGTCCCCCCACAGGGGGATCTTCGACGAAGAATAAACGATACCCAACAAATATGCAAAAGATGCCCAAACATATGCAAAAACATGTGACCAGACTATTTTTTCACCATTTCTGAATATCCCCCCTGTAGAGGGACAGGCCCAACTTACACTTGGCATCGCTCGGTTCGGATGCAACTCCTGGGAGGTCCAATTCGGATTTTGCCCTGGTCCGAAATCCAGCTCAATCCGGCTGAATCCCGCTGAATCCGGCTTGATCCCGCTGAATCCCGCTTAATCCGGTTGAATCCCGCTTAATCCGAGGCCCACTCCGGCGTAAGAGCTCCCCAGTGGGGCTTAATCCTCTTCATTCTTTCCGAGGACGACCTCCCAGTAATTACTTGCCTCCTATGCTCGGGCGTGCGCACTCTTTCCTCGGCGACGAGCATTGAGGAGCATCCTGCAATAACAAAAAAGGTCCAACGACGCAACCTCGGGCGTGTGCACTTTTTCCTCGGCGACGAGCATTGAGGAGCATCCTGCAATAACAAAAAAGGTCCAACGACGCAGCACCTGCCCCTGCATTGAGCATCTTGCATGTCGCATGCTCGTACCAGTGAGGGCATCTTGCAACAAACAAGGAGCGCACGAGGCCGAAAATAAAAGCGCACGGGGAGTCCGCGCCCGAGCGGTGGCAGGCAGTCGGGCTCCTCGTCGAGCCTCTCCGCCGATGCGTCGGCGGAGAGGCTCGACGAGGAGCCCGACTTTCTACACTCAGGAGGGAAAGAAACTCACAGACACAATTAATCGTCGACTCCCTGGAAAATATGCAAAAATATAGGAAGTGAGGGGGAAGACAAAAACCCAAAAAATATGGGAAAATATAGGGAATAGTCTCATTTGTGTGTATTTATTTGTGTGTCCTGGGGCCCCTTCATACACGACGGCGCCGATGCATCGCCGAGGCATCGCCGAGGCATCGCCAAGGCGTCGGCGGTGTGGCGCAGTCCGTCTGCCCCATCTGCTCGGAGCCCATTTGTGGGAGGCCTCCGAGGCTGCTGCGCGTGAGGCCGATCCGGGACACGCACTCCCTGACCCTCACCTGGCAGCTGCCGCCCTCCCTCGCCCACTACAGCTCCAAGCCGGCGGGGTACAGCACGAGGGGGAAACGACGGCGTAAGCGTATACTTTCGGAGGTCCGCGCGGGTTTCTCGAATCTGCGCTGGGCTCCTTTGGCGGCGCCTCCGGCGCCGCACTTGGCGCGCTCAGCGCGCCAGGGAAGGGGGTCCAGCGCCGATCAAATCAGGAGGGAAAAACAAACAAACACAAATAGTCGTCGATTCCCCGGAAAATAGGCAAAAACAAGGGAAATGGGGGGGAAGACGAAAATCCAAAAATATAGAAAGTATGAATATAGAAAATATTGGGGATCCTGGGAGTTGTGTGTATTTATTTGTGTGTCCCAGGGCCCGTCAGATCAAAGAAATCCAGGCGGACCTCCGAAAGTGGATGTTCATGCCAGGTTTTCGCCCTCGATGCATAAGCCACTGTCTCGGCGACGAGGGGCGTGGCTCCGTTCTGTCGTTCTTGAAGGACGAGGGCTTGGCGACGGAGCTGTCCGCTGGCAGCGGCGGCGACAATTTCAGCAACAGCAGCAACTCGGAGGTATTCAACGTGGAGATCGCCCTCACGGAGCTGGGGATGCAGCAGTGGCCCGCGGTGGCCAGCGTGGTGTTCCAGTACTTGAAGATGTTGCGCGACTACGGCGAGAGGCTGCCCGACTGGCCCCACGAGGAGCAGAAGCTGGTCGCCCAGATGAGCTTCCGGTTCCTGCAGGAGAAGGACAGGGCTCATTTCGATTCCTCCGATTCGATTCGATTCGATTTCGATGGCTTCTGATTCCGATTCGATTCGACTTGGGATTCCGATCTGGGTTCCGATTCGTTATTGGACGCATACTAGTCTGCCGATGTCCGCCGATTCGACTTTTCCCGACTCGGCTGCCGACTTCCGCCGATCCGACTCATTTCGATCGCCGATCCGATTTGTCGACTCGATTCTGGGCTCCCCTGGAAGGACCCCTGCGACTTGGTGCAGGAGCTCAGCGAGCGGATGCTCCCGCTCTACCGGCACCGGCCCGAGCACCTGCTCGTCGGCCCGTGGCTGCACGAGGGCTTCGAGGTGAGCGGCGCAGGAAAGAAATCAGGAGGGAAAAAAACACACACAGACACAATTAATCTTCGGTTCCCAGGAAAATATTGGAAAATATGGGAATCGGGGGGGAAGACAAAAACCCAGAAAATATGGGAAAATATGGGTTCTATTTTTATTTGTGTGTATTTATTTGTGTGTCTTAATTTCCCTTTAAGAAAGGATCGTCTGCGCCGACAGTCGTGCGCAAGCTGCTCGCGGAAGGCCGCGCGCAGGCGCCCTCGTTTCCAGTGTGCAGCGTGCCGGGCGGGCAGCCGGCGAAGCTGCGGCGCGAGGTCGGCAAGCCATCTCGCGTAGGACCCGTCTCCGACTGTCGCTCACCACCCACCAAACCACCCCAACCCAACCCGAAGGCCTCAATTTGCCCTCCATTTCCAGTTGGGGGGGATGGGAGAGCATTGGAAAAAAACACATGAAGCCCCTACCCCCCCCAACCCGAAATTCGGGTCTTCGGGTTGGGTTGGGGTCGTCTGGTAGGTAGTCAGTCGCTCAGGTGGCCCTCATCCGCTCCATCCTGGGCCAGCTGACCGTCCGGCAGTGCTTCGTGATGCTCTTGAGCAGCAGCTTCGGCCGCACCTCGGCGGCGTGCCCACAGTCCGACGACGATGAGGAGGACTCCGCATCCGACGAGGATCCGCCTCCAGAGAAAAAGAATGAAACGTACCCTGTCGGAGGTCCGCGCGCATTTCTCGGATCCGCGCTGGAGCCTCCACTGGGATCGGGCGAAGAGAACTATGCACATGCACTGATCCTGGCGAGGCCCATCCTTGACCCAGGATCGGTGCATATACCTTCCTAGCCAAGGTAGGAGGGCGTATGCACCGATCCTGGGCTCAGGATGGGCCTGGCCAGATTCGGTGCATGTGCATAGTTCTCTTTCCTCTATGGGAGCGCCTCTGGCGGCCGCGCCGCCCCTGGCGCGCTCCGCGCGCCAGGGGGGGGGGGGGTCCAGCGCCGGTGCAAGAACTCTGCGCGGGCCTCTCCAGGTTGACGTCTGCGTGAGTCTTCGCTGTTCTGGAGTCCGGAGGAGGGCGGGAGCGAGGACGGGGAGGCTGGCGGCGGCGCAGGTCAGGAGGAGAAAAAGCACACAGACACAAGTAATCGTCGATTCCCCAGAAAATGCTGGAAAAGATGGGCAGTGGGGGGGGAGACAGAAGCCCAGACAATATAAGAACATATAGGGGATCCTTTTCGTTGTGTGCATTGATTTGTGTATGTCCCAGGGCCCCCTCAGCAGGCGCGGGGGCGGACGCCAAGCGGCAGCGCGTGGATACCCCAGACGCGCTGCCTGTCGCCCGGCGGCTGGACCCGCTGTTCGACGCCGCGGCCGCCGCGGGCGACATGAAGGTGGAGCCGCGGTTCTCATCGGGGGACGCCTAACAGATCTGTTCGACTCCGGTTCGCGTCTAGTTCGGCCCACATTCGGCTCATGCTCGACGCATGCTCGACCCAGGTTCGTCTCCAGCTCGATCCGATTCGACGGACGTTCGGCGCAGCTTCGCCGCACGAGTGCAGCGAGTGGCTCCAGGAAGGTCCCCGGAGTGAGCATCTGAATCTGTTGACACGGATGTGTGGTCGGGGGTGCGCGCGGATCTCCGACGGTGTCCTGTTGTGCAGTCGTTTGGACTCGTATCTTCCAGGGGGAGAAAAACCACACAGACACAATGATTCGTCGATTCCCCAGAAGGTATGGGAAAGTATGGGAAGTGGGGGGGATGGCGCAAACCCAGTTGTTCGGTCTTGTATCTTTCAGGGGGAGAAAAACCACACAGACACAATGAATCGTCGATTCCCCAGAAGGTATGGGAAAATATGGGAAGTGGGGGGGATGACACAAACCCAGTTGTTCGGTCTTGTATTTTTCAGGAGGAAAAAAACCACCCAGACACAATGAATCGTCGATTCCCCAGGAGGGATGGGGAAATATGGGAAGTGGGGGGGGGATGACAAATACCCAGTCGTTCGGTCTTGTGTTTTTCAGGAGGAGAAAAACCACACAGACACAATGAATCGTCGATTCCCCAGGAGGGATGGGAAAATATGGGAAGTGGGGGGGGATGACAAAAACCCAGAAATTATGGGAACATATGGAGAATCTTCTTATTCGTGTATATTTTATATGTGTGTCCCAGGGCCCCTTCAGTAATTACAGTCGGTAGCCGGTACGAGGCATAAGACCGATGTACAAGATCGAGGACGGCTCGGGAAGGGCTCCCTGGTGCTCTTCGTGTCTGTTGGGTGCTCTTTGTGCATCCCTGGGGAGGGTTCCCCGGGATGCTCTGTGTTTCTTCTGGCCGGCAGAGGGCCCCACGGTCGGGAAGGGTGTGCTCCCGGCCCAGCCCCGACCGCAAGTGGGGGGTAAAGGAAAGGGCCCTTTGTCTTCACTCGCTTACAGTGGGGGCGCGCAGCAAGAAACCATATGTCGGAGGTGGACAGAAACCCCAACAGTGACACATCGATTAGTGAATTGTCCGTTTTCGGTTCTCGAGAGGGCGCCGTGGCCGTTATTTTCCAGGCTTGCGCCCGCCAGGTTTGGGCCTCAGGTCGTTTTCACTAAACCACGTTTTACTAAAGGGGGGTCTGTCCATCCCCGAATCTGTTTTTCGTCAGGGTATCCTGGGTCTCTTCGCTCCTCGCACTGCGCGGTGACTTCCCGCAGCCGTTGAAGGAGCTGCTGCGTTCAGGGTGCTCCGGGGTTCCCCTCAGGTGCACCTCGCGCACGGGCTCTCAGGGTTGGGTTTCTGGCGACGGTTTCTTGCGACCGCGCCCACACTGTAGGTCACCCCCGCCCGCCCGCGATTCTGAGCTGCCGCTGTCTCAGCTCGCCCCAGGGCTGGACCTCAACGAAAAATCCCATTTAGGTTCAGCCCTTACTCGCCCTGCCCCAAGGTTCGGCACGGAGTACTGGGACTGCGAGCTGGACGGGGGCGTCCTGCGCGAGTGGGAGGACGCCGCCCCGAGCTCCCGCCTGCACGTCCCGCGGCCCAGCGAGTTCATCGCGACGGACTTCCAGATCCTGCCCAGGGACGACACAGGTCGGCGGCGAGCCCAGGAGGAGGAGGAGGAGGAGGAGGAGGAGGAGGAGGAGGAGGAGGAGGAGGGGGAGGGGGAGGAGGAGGGGGAGGAGGCAAGCTAGGTGCGCTCGCGTCATATCTGACATCCTACCCCACCCACCCATCCCTTACCATGGCGCAGATCCCCTCTCTACTCGCACAGTCGGATGTCGAGCAGGGCAATGATCCCGAAAGGGTACGCGATGCATTGTAGAGCACGGCATGGCATGGCGTAGAAGAGCACCGCAAAGCGTAGTATCAACCTAGCATTGCATCGCATGCCGTGGCATGGCACGGGAAATGACGCCAGCGCTGCAGCGGGAGCACGAGTCGAAACGAGCGGAAGCGCGGAAATGAGGCCAGCGCTGCAGCGGGAGCACGATTCGGAACGAGCGGAAGCACGGAAATGAGGCCAGCGCTGCAGCGGGAGCACGATTCGGAACGAGCGGGGCCCGAAAATGAGGCCGGCGCCTCAGCGAGAGCAGCATTTTGAAAAAAATGCAGGCGAAAACCCAACTCCCGGGAATCCTGTGTGTAAAAAAGCAGGACGCGGGGGGGGGGGCGAACACTCCCAGCACGTCATCAGGGGAAGAGGAGAGTAGTATTCATATTGAGTAATTGTAGAAGGGGAGGAGGAGGAGGAGGAGGAGGAGGAGGAGGAGGAGGAGGGAAGGAGGAGGGAGGAGGAGGAGGAGGAGGAGTGGGAGGGGCGGGCTCCCTCAGAAGGCTGGGAAAGCCTCGGGCCTCTTGAGGAGTTCTACGAGCCCTCTCGCAAGGCGTAAGTCGGGCCTGTCCCTCTACAGGAGGAAAATTCAAACATAGTTGAACAAAATATCTTGGGACGACTTTTCGATTATTTCTTTCGTCCAAAATCCGCCTGTGTAGGGAGCGCGCCCGACTTGACGCAAGGCGCGAGGGCCTTCTGAACAGCCCCGCCGCCTTCCGAGACGGCGCCTCCCCCCGTCTCGCCCTCTCCCCCCCCTCCCCCCCCTGGGCTCGGCGCCCAGCAGGCGATGCAAGGCTCGTTTTCCACCACCACCACCAGAAGTTGGAGGGGGAGGGGGTCTCCTCGCCCTCCTCCTCCTCTTCGTCCCCCTCCACCTCGTCCTCCCCCTTCCAACTCCTCCTCCTCCTCCTCCTCCTCCTCCTCCTCCTCCTCCTCCTCCTCCTCCTCCTCCTCCTCCTCCTCCTCCTCCTCCCACTCCTCCTCCTCCTCGTCTTCGCCCTCCTCCTCGTCTTCGTCCTCCTCCTCGCCCTCCTCCTCCTCCTCGTCTTCGTCCTCCTCCTCCTCCTCCTCTTCGTGTTCCTCCCTCGCGCCCTCCTCCTCCTCCTTCTCCTCCTCCTTCTCCTCCTCCTCCTCCTCCTCCTCCTCTTCGTCCTCCTCCTCCTCGCCCTGCCCCCTCCCCCCTCCAACTTGTGGTGGTGGTGGTGGACAAAACGGGCCCACCAGGCGAGAGCGCGTGCGCCCCCCTGCTCCAGCGCGCCCCGGCGACCGAGGGCTTCCCGGTCCCGTCCGAGAGGCTTCGGGGGCGGCCAAGAGTGAGGAGAGGAAACATTACAGACACAATCCATCGTCGATCCCCCAATTCATCGTCGATCCCCCAGAAAAGCGCGGGCCTCTCAAGGTTGACGTTTGCGTGAGTCTTCGCTGTTCTGGAGTCTGGAGGAGGGCGGGAGCGAGGACGGGGAGGCTGGCGGCGGCGCAGGTCAGGAGGAGAAAAACACACAGAAACAATCCATCGTCGATTCCCCAGAAAATGTTAGAAAATATGGGCAGTGGGGGGGGGAACCCTGTCGTTTGTGTCTATGTATTTGTGTCCCAGGGCCCCTTCAAAGAGGGGAGTGAGGACCGGGGTTAAGGCGGGCCTGTCCTTCTACGGGAGGAATATTCAGAAACGGGGCTGGACCTAAACGCTATTTTGCTGGACTTCGGGCTGTGTTTTGTTGTTCGTTTTGGGAGGGAGGTACAGGAAAACAGGTAGAGCAAAACGAACAACAAAACGAAAACAAAACGAATAACAACGTTTAGGTCCAGCCCTGCTTAGAAATAGTCAAAAAATAGTCCTTGGGCGATTTTTGTTGCATTTTGGGGGCATGATGTGAGTATTTTCTGACAATTTTTTATTTTTCGTCCAGAATCCGCATGTAGGGGATTTCCTGGCGCCTCTGCTTATTTCATGACGTCCCTGGCCCCCCTTGGGCCGCGCACATGCCGCCAGCCATGATTTGCGACCCCCCCGTCTCTTGGACGCCCCTCTCTTGGCCGGCCCCGAAGGCTGTTGCCGGAGCCGCAGCGGCTGTGGCCCGGGGCGGATCGCGCGCCGCTGGAGGCGTGGCACCTGAACTGCGCGGCGCAGTTCAACCAGCCGCGCAGCGAGGTGTGGCTGAAGGTAACGTGTCCGCACTACGCGTTCGATCCGAAGAATGCGCGGAAGGATCAGGGGTGGACAGAACCCCAAGCCTGACACGTCGATTAGTGAATTGTTCGTTTTCGGTTCTCCAGAGGGCGCTGTAGCCGTTATTTTCCAGGCTTTCGCCCGCCAGATTTGGGCCCGAGGTCGTTTTCACTGAACCACGTTTTGCTAAAGGGGGTTCTGTCCATCCCCGAAAGGAGGTGCTCATGCAGCTGTACGTGTGCTGCCTGCGGGACAGCCTGAACGAGACCACCTACCCGGCCTCGCAGGCGAGGCTGCACTGCAGCGTGAACGGCGCCAGCCACGGGTTGACGATCTATGCCGGAGGGTTCAGCCAGAAGCTCCTGAAGCTCGTGGAGCGCGTTCTCGTCGACCTCCCCCTGGAGGACTACTTCGAGCGGGGACTTCGGCGTCTCGGGGCGCAGAAGGAGCAGCTGTTGCGCGACTACAAGAACTCCTGGCTGAAGCCCACGTCGCACTGCAGCGCCCTGCGGCGGCTGCTGCTGATGCCGAGCTGCATCCGGCCGGAGAGGCTGGAGCGCGAGCTCGCGTCGAGCACCGTGCAGGAGTCGGCCCCTCGATCGCGTCTCCGCCCCACTCGCGGATGCTGGGCCGATGTTCCACCACCTTTACCATCTGTAGGACGGGGGGGAAACTGACAGGCAGGGACTCGTGAACGTATGGTAGCGAGCCTCTCTTACGGGACCACCTCGGAGCTCAGTCTTTGAGCAACGTGGTATGCCCCCTGCCCGCCCTAGCGAGAAGGCAGGGCTGTTGCACAATCAATCGCAGGGGATTTTGGCAGATGTGCGCAAGACACCAGCGTAGGTGTTTTGTTGTTGCGCCCCCCTATGCGGATGTCCTTGTCCTTGTCCTCCTCCTCCTCCTCCTCCTCCTCCTCCTCCTCCTCCTCCTCCTCCTCCTCCTCCTCCTCCTCCTCCTCCTCCTCCTCCTCCTCCTCCTCCTCCTCCTCCTCCTCCTCCTCTCCTCCTCCTCCTCCTCCTCCTCCTCCTCCTCCTCTCACGTCCATATGGTAGTGGTGGTGGAAAATGGGCCCATCAGCGGACGGACGAACAGGGGGGGAGTGGGAGCGGATTTTGAGCTGCCGTGGTCTAAAATGCGCTCCGTTCCGAGGTGCACACCCCGCCGCCCAGCGCGTTCCTCGGTGCACATGGCCGCTTCAGGCGCTGGGAGGCCTCGGGACAAGCAGGCACACGCGGACACTTCGCAGACCCCCGCTTTTGCCCCTCCCCCCCCCTCCCCCCCCTTTCCCTTGGTTCGAAGAAGGAAAACGCCATAAACATCAACTTGTGGCGCTCCGCGCGGACTCCTTGGATCCGCGCTGGGTCCCCCCCCCGCGGCGACGCCTCTGGCGCCGCCCCTGGCGCGCTCCGCGCACCAGGGATGGGGTTCCAGCGCAGATCGGAGCGCCAAAAGTTTATGTCAATGTTGTTTTCGTTTTCACTGGTGCGTCCGACCCGAAACACTGTCGTGCTTCCTGCCTCCTGTGTCGTTTCCCGCGCTTTCCTCATGCTTCCGTTGATGCCGCTGCGCCCCCCCGAGTCGGTGCCACTGCCGCGCACATGTCCGCCGCCGCCGCGCCTGGAGAAGCCGCGTGGCCACGCGGTACCGTGTCATGTCGGAAGCTATACCTGGCCAGCCCCCGTCGCCGTCGCAACAGATCACTTGCGCGCGACACATGCTTGCATCGAATTGAATTCTCCACGGCGCGGCGATCGCACATCGCACATCATGCGCTTGACTTAAGGACAACGTCCGTGCGGCGACGGATCGTTTTCGCGCATCTGTCTGCGACGGACCCGTCGCCGCTGCGCTTGGGAGGTCACAAGAGGCCGAACCCTGTATCGCTGCTCGACTGGCGTCGTGACTCTTGGGTGGAGCGTTTCGGAACTAGCGTGAAGTCGGGCCTGTCCCTCTACAGGGGGAACATTCCAAAGTAGTCCAAAAATACAGTCGGGGCGCAGAGGAAGGAACCCTTTTCGTTGGGGTGGGGCTCGGTGTTCCTTAATTGTTTTGCAGTTCGCCTCTGGTTTTCCTTGGGGCTTCGATGGGAAATCGAAGTTTAACTTATCGGAAAACAGGGGCCTCGTTCCTTATTTAGGGTTCCTTAGGTCAACCCCCCGACTGTAGTCGGGGGACGACTTTCGGAGTATTTTTCGACAATTTGGGGGGGTGTTTTTTTTGAGTATTTCTCCTTCTGCGGCCAAAATCCCCCGGTGGGGGGACACGCGCCCGACTCAAACTCGGCGGGGGGGCCGTCGGCGGCGCCCTGGGGCCCCTGGGACCCCTGGGCTGGGCCGGCCGTGGGGCCCTCTCTCCGGTCGGTCCTGGGCCGCCCTCCGGCTCCACCGGGGGAGCACTGGGCCGTCTTGGGGGGCCCACTCGCCATGGGTCGTGGGCCATGGGCTTACCAGCCTCGAACGTATCCCTACACCCTAAGCGATGCTTAAGAAAATCCAAGTTTTCGGCCAGAGTCTCGATTATTCTTAACGTTTCAATGTAAACCTTAAGATTTTGATAGAAATGTTGGGTTTTTATTCAAGTTCTGAGACTATGAATTTCTTAACCCATGATTTCTTAAGCATTTCGCGGGGTGTATCCCTCGACGCGCCATAAAAACCCTGTGGGCTTACCGTCCCTATCCCTCCCTATCCCGCATCCCTATTCCTCTATCCCTCGTGGGCTTACCATTGACGCGCCAAAAGGCGATGCCAATCTCAGGGATCCGCCCTCAAAAAGTAAGGGAATCCCTAAGATTGGCATCGTGATGAAGAGGTGCCCAGCATAGGGATAGGGATACGTTCCAAGGCGGGCGTGTCCCCCTACAGGGGGCTGTTCGACGAAAAACAAAAAGTACCCCAAAGATCATCCCAAATGGTCCAAACATATTCCAAAAATGGTCCCCATACCATTTTTGGATTATGATTTGATTATTTTGTGGGTTATTTTTTATTTTTCGTCGAACATCCCCCTGCAGGGGGACAGGCCCGACGTAAGCCCAGAGACAGTCCGAGCTCCGTGGCGACCCAGAGTTATGTTTAGCCCCCCTGCGGTGTCAAGTCATAATGGCGTGATCACGTTTTCGGCCTCCCACGAGCACTGTGGAGGAGGGGCCTCCTTGAAGCTCTGGGCCGCTTGGGCCGAGGAAGCGCAAGCGTGAGTGTTTGCGCAAGGATTGGGTAGCGGCGGGCCCCTTTTACGTGCAGAGTCGGCGCGATCAGTTGCCAGATGAGGCGGCGCCAGCCTCATCTTCCGGGGGGAGCCTTCCCCGATCCGCGGAGCTGGCGCCCACGCGCCAGGCCCGCGGATACGTTACTCACGTTAGCGTGCGCCCGATTGGGGGAGGGCCTCTTCAAAGCTGCGGGCCGCTTGGATGGTCTTACAATCGGACCGAGGTATAAGATCGAGGTCGGGTCGGGCCCGGGTCGGGGAGGGTACCCTAATGTTCCTCGTGTTTGTTGGATGCTCTTGTGCATCCTGGGGGAGGGTACCCTGGGATGTTCTGTGTGCTTTGGCCGGCAGAGGGCATCATGCCCTTGAAGGATAGTCTTCTGGCCAAGGTCCGACTGTACGAGTTTTCGCGAGGGGATCTCGTGCCAGCCGATCGCAAACATGGATCAAAGGGGCGTGGATTAGCGACGGGTCCCGTTTCCATTGGAAATCGCGGATTCCTGCCGCCGAACGAGGCGGCATTGGCCGCACTTTGGGGAGGACGCCTCCCCCGATCCATGGATTTGGTGACCGCGCGCCAAATCCATGGATCGCTAATCTTAAGTCGGGCATGTCCCTCTACAGGAGGGATATTCAAAAATAGTCCAAACATAGTCTGGGGACTATTTCTTGATTATGTTCGAGCATCAGGGGGTATTGTTTTGACTATGTTTGTTATTTTTCGCCCAAAAGCCCCCTGTAGGGGGACAGGCCCGACCTCACGGGAATCATTCTTCATGTTTGCGCGCCCCCGATCGTGGGGGAGCCTTGGGTCAGGAGGGGGAAAAGACCACACAGACACACAATTAATCGTCCATTCCCAGGAAACTATTTAACAATATGGGAAGTGGGGGGGAGGACAAAAACCCAGAACACATGGGAACATCTGGGGAATCCTGTTATTTGTGTGTATTTAGTTGTGTGTCCCTGGGTCCCTTTAAAATTCACATGGTCGGAGGTTGATAGACCTCCTACCCTGACACGTCGATTAGCGAATGGGCCGTTTTCGATTCGCGAGAGGGCGTTGCGGCCGTCGTTTTTGCGGGTGCAGGTCCGTCGGTTTCGGCCCCAGGCCGTTTTCACTAACCGGAGGTTAACTGAAGGGAGGTTTGTCCACCGCCGATATGGATCGATCCCCCGATTCCAAGTCTGTTTTCGGCGCCTTCCTACTTCAATGCTCGAGTGAGTTCCCCTGTTCCTTTATCTCCGGGCGGCGGGCGGAAGCCCAATCTACGTCCAACACCGTCCTGCTTCATGTTTCTTCCCATTTCTTCCGACCGACGGGTAAGATGGTCGTCGGTTCAGGGTCTCGGGATGCAAAATGGCCCTGGCATCGGATCTCTGGGTCTGACACCCCGCATCTGCACCACCGATTGTCAGAGTGAGTGGGCCGAACGGTCATTCACTCTTCCTGGGCGTGTGGCTGAAGTGGGGTTCTGCGGTGCGGATTGTTGTTGTTGTTGTTGTTGTTGCTGCTGCTGCTGCTGCTGTTGTTGTTGTTGTTGTTGGTGTTGGTGTTGGTGTTGGTGTTGGTGTTGTTGTTGTTGTTGTTGTTGTTGTTGTTGTTGTTGTTGGTGTTGGTGTTGTTGTTGTTGTTGTTGTTGTTGTTGTTGTTGTTGTTGTTGTTGTTGTTGTTGTTGTTGTTGTTGATGTTGTTGTTGTTGTTGTTGTTGTTGTTGTTGTTGTTGTTGTTGGTGTTGGTGTTGGTGTTGGTGTTGTTGTTGATGACGTTGTTGTTATTATTGATGTTGTTGCTGCTGTTGTTGTTGCTGTTGCTGTTGTTGCAGCTGCTGTTGATGCTGCTGCTGTAGTTGTTGAACTTCCATTCCTGGAGAATGATTATTATTGTTCCCCCCTCCGGGGCACATTGTTTTTTAATCGAAGTGCCCCCCTTGGGGCCCTCACCTTGTTTTTTTAAAAGGGAAAGCGAGGGGTCACCAAACTGGGCTCCTGGCCCCCGTGGGGCCCGTCGGGGGCCCCTAGAGGCCGAAACTAGCGAAAAAACTCCGTCGTGATTTTCTTCGATGCGTTCGATCTCTGGGAGTTCCGCAGACCCGAGGGCCCCATGGCGGGGAGGCGCCGGGCCCCCGCCCTGGGCGACGAGGGCGCCGCCACTGGCCGGCAGCGCCTGGCGCCCGCCTGCCGCCCGCGCGGCGAGGCCGCGCCCGCTGCCCCTGGCCCGGGGCGCGCGCGCCTCGCCGAGCGCCCCGCCCAGCGCCCTGCCCTTAAGTCGGGCCTGTCCCCCCTTCATGGGGATTTTCGACGAAAATTATAAATACCCCCAAAATAGTCAAAACATAGTCCAAAAATTGTCTGGGGACTATTTACCTAACAGCGAAGACTGATAGGTTTCTAGTTGACTCAAAAGAGCTCACAGATCACTCCACAGGGGGGTCCGGGCAGGCGTTGGGAGTTGCCGGCCGGGCCTGTGCCGGGCTCGTTTTTCACCAACAGTCACACACTTCGTGCTCGTCGACCTCTCAGAACCCCATTCCCAGGCCACATTCTGAATAACCGGATGCAACAGTCACACACTTCGTGCTCTTCGAGTTCCCAGAACTCCATTCCCGGGCCACATTTTGAATGCCCGGAGCCAACTGTAGGCCACTTCGTGCTCTTCGAGTGCCCAGAACTCCATTCCCGGGCCACATTTTGAATGCCCGGAGCCAACTGTAGGCCACTTCGTGCTCTTCGAGTTCCCAGAACTCCATTCCCGGGCCACATTTTGAATGCCCGGAGCCAACTGTAGGCCACTTCGTGCTCTTCGATTCCCAGAACTCCATTCCCGGGCCACATTTTGAATGCCCGGAGCCAACTGTAGGCCACTTCGTGCTCTTCGAGTTCCCAGAACTCCATTCCCGGGCCACATTTTGAATGCCCGGAGCCAACTGTAGGCCACTTCGTGCTCTTCGAGTTCCCAGAACTCCATTCCCGGGCCGCATTTTGATGCTGATGCAGAGGCTGAGAATGGTGATGCTGATGCTGAGGCTGAGGCTGAGGCAGGCAGGCTGAGGCTGATGAGGCTGAGGCAGGCTGAGGCTGAGGCCGAGGCTGAAGGCAGGCTGAGGCAGACGCTGAGGCAGGCTGAGGCTGAGGCAGGCTGAGGCTGAGGCTGAGGCTGAGGCAGGCTGATGCTGAGGCAGGCTGAGGCTGAGGCTGAGGCTGAAGGCAGACTGAGGCTGAGGCAGGCTGAGGCAGACGGCAGGCTGATGCTGAGGCAGGCTGAGGCTGAGGCTGAGGCTGAGGCTGAGGCAGGCTGAGGCACAGAGGCTGAGGCTGAAGGCAGACTGAGGCTGAGGCTGAAGCAGGCTGAGGCTGAGGCTGAGGCAGGCTGAGGCTGAGGCTGAGGCAGGCTGATACTGAGGCAGGCTGAGGCTGTGACTGCGACTGCCGCTGCCACTGCGACTGTCATCGCGAATGCGACTGCGACTGCGAGAACAGCAGAACTCTACAATTGGATTCTCATCTGAATCTTAAGGGGAATGCTTCCATATATGCTTCTACACATCGCTGTTAGGTTGCTTTGCCGGGATAATTTTTAAAGTATTTTTTGACCTTTTTGGTGCATGTGTAGGGTATTTTTTATTTTTCGTCGAAAATCCCCCTGTAGGGGGACACGCCCGACTTAACCCTGCCCGCAGGAGCTCCGGGAGTTCACGGCGGGCCTCCTGGCCAAGACGGGCTGCACCCTGCTGGCGGCGGGGAACACGCCGCGAGGAGGAGCGCCGCCCGCGGTGGTCGGGGCGGAGGGGCGGAGGGGCGGCGCAGGGGCCGAGGTAGCACCGGCAGTGGCCGGGAAGAGGGCGGCTCGCGGGGAAGTTGGGAGTGGCGTCATGGGGGGGTCATAAGCCCAGAGATCGAACGTATCGAACAAGTCACGACGGAGTTTTTTCGCCATTTTCGGCCTCCAGGGGCCCTCGACGGGCCCCAGGGCCATCAAAAAAGGACTCAGCATGAAAAACCGGTCCTGGGGAATGGGTCGAGACTTCCGGGGGCCCCGCATTGAAAAAAGCACGACATCGGATCTCTGGGAATGGGGGGGTGGCGAGAGCGGTCCGACAAGGTACCCAAACGGTACCTAAACGAGGCCCCCTGGGGGCTCCGGAGGGGCCCGAAAGGAGCATGCAAGGGGACCGTTTCTGACCCCTCCTTTTTTATGACCTCCCCGGAAAGCCACGCCCAAGGCCAGAAGCAGCCGGCTCCTTCGGTTGCCGAGCGCTGCTTTCTTGTCCGCCAGCGCTTGGGGGGTCCCGAAGCGGGGCGGTGAGGCACCAGGCGGAGACCCCAGGATTTTTCTGGCCAGGCAAGGCTTCCACTCAAGGCCCCTCCAGAAGGGTCCGCGGCGGGGTTCGCGCGAATCCCATCCTGCGCCCACGAACGACGAGGGGATCCACAGCAGATCGGGAAGTCCCGAGCCAGTATGCTAACACTGGTGCTGCAGTATCTCGCCAAAATCGGCCTCCAGGGGGACAGGGCCCGACGTAAGGTTGGTGTCCCAGGGGGGGGGGGGGGCGCGGGAGCGCGATGGGGAGCCGCGCCTCGGGCCTCTCGCTCCTCGCGGCGCTGTGCGCGAGCCTGGGCGGCCCGGCTGCCCCTGCTGCGGAGGTCGATCGACAAGGGCGCCCTCGAGGGCGCGAAGTGATTCGCGCTTCGCGCTTCGGCTCCGATTCCTCCTCCTCCTCTTCTCCCCTGGGAGGCGGCGCGAGAGCGCGAAGTTCTTCGCCCTTCGCGCAGCGCGAAGCGCGAAAAGTTGGGAGGCCTTGGTTCCGGAGGTGGATAGGCCTCCTACCCTGACACGTTGAGTGAGGAGTTGGCCGTTTTCGCTTCGCGAGAGGGCGTCGCGGCCGTCATTCTTGCGGGTCCAGGTCCGTCGGTTTCGGTCCCAGGCCTTTTTCACTAAAGGGAGGTTTACTAAAGAGAGGTTAGTCCACCGCCGACCGTTGCAGTCGGCGTGGATGGGTGGAGCTCGTCATGCGGGCGAGGATGGCTCGGCTGGCGTGGATGGTTGGGCGGGTTCGGCGGCAAATCATGGGAGCCTTGTATACGGTAGGCTCACGCGGCGTTGGCGCGCCGGCGACGCTGGCGAAGGCGTTCAGCGTGGAAGTCTGTGGCGCGGAAGCATCGAGGGACACAGCAACGTCATTGGACCTGACGGAATTCAGCCTTGAACTGTCGGGGCCGCGATGGATCGCGATTGATTCAAGGTTGAACGATCGACGCGGTGTCAAAAACCTTTGTGCGCCCCAACGTCGCACGAACCTATCGTACCTTCGTATTCCGTCTTTGCAGCGCACTGGCGTCGATTAGTGTCTGGCGATCGCTGGGATAGCGCCGATTACGTAGCGTCGAGGAGCGTCGACCAAGGCTTAAGGCTCAGGGTACGAGCTCAATCGTACCTCGGCGCAGAGGTATTGTATTTCCTCGCTTCTGTTGCTCTTTGCCCCGGCATTTCGATCTCATACCTCTGTCTGCAGGTGTTGGAAGCGACTCGCGCGTGCCATGTACCCCGGTCAGGTAACTCTTCAAGGCCAATTCTCAACAATTTGTTTTGTCTTCTGCAACTCGCCACCGAATCAACAGTCCACTGCAGGAGTTGGACGGGTTGGACGACGACCACCCTTCAGGTGAACTGTGAGGAGCAGTTCCCAGCGGTCAGCTTCAATCACCCCCTACTCAGCCCACTCTGGGGAAAAGCGACGCTGCCACAGGCCAGCATATTATTCTGGATGCCATTGGAACGCTCATCTCTGACCACCTCCAGCCCATCCAGAGGACATCACCGTCATCAAGCAGCACGGATTATCTTGCCAGGACTCGGATAACCCGACAATGCATGTGATAACACATTTTGAGGAACCTCAAGATGAAGTCGAAAACGTGCACATGTGGATGACGAGCATGGATAACTACGTGAACGAGCAGTCCGATAATATCAAATGCCATGTCGACAATCTTGGGGGGGACTACTCCGCGTTCGCTTTCTGGCACATCTCAGACAGGACACCAGGGCCCACGCAGGCCAAACGAGAACCACAAGAGAAGCATTACGGCTGCGTTGGGTAATAAAGATGGTTTCGCATGTGTTGAACAAGTTGCCGAATTGTTCCAATCTGAGATTAAATGATTCGGGCCGCCAGCATGGACAAATCTAAAATGTGAAAGTGAACTCCAGACACCGTTTTCTGTTAGGCAAAGACCACCGACAAGCACGACACAGCAGTTGCCCAATTTCGGAATGCCAAGCTTGGCTGGAATTCAAGATTTGTTTGAGTCTCGCCAGACCGCATTCCATTGGTATAGGCAGCTCGTGATTTTTGTGTCGGGTCCAGGCAATTTCGGAACACCGGAATCGGAATGGGGTAGAATATACACGTTTACGACGACGAAAGCCCGCAACGTTCTGTTGGAGTTGGTGGGGGGCTTGCTTCACATTGACACCAGATGGTAACAGTATTATTCGGACTTTGGTACCAGTGAACAGAGTTGCATATGCAGCCGACGTTCACAAAACTAGTCCAAGCATGCAAAGGGCATGTCGCAAAGAAGCGCCAAGGGGATGAGGGGTTGAGCGAGAGGTGCACACTTTAAACCGACGGTAATAATTAGCAACTTCCCCATCCTGGCGACTACTTTCGATGGCGCGCCGCGCTCGAAACAATTTCAATACGGGCGCGCAAGGGGCTTGCATCCTTAGCGCGCATCCTTTCTATCAGTTTGATTGTATCTTGTCCGCAACGTGTTCACCTTCGCGCACTTCAAGAAACTTGCGCCGCCGACCTACTTTACTCTCCTCTGTCTCCCCTTCCTCCTTTCCATATCCTGTTTCATTCTCCTTTCTTTTAACAGCCACTAAATCACCGAAGATTTTCTCATGAAGTGAGCAAGTTTACATTTTCTGGCAGTGACCCTAGACGAATTCTGACAGATACTGGACGTTTCTTGGGCACGGCTACCAAAACGTTGCCCACCACTTCCATAGTTTTGCCCGCTGCGTCTTCATCATTTTCCTGCACGGGCGCTCTTGGCGTAGCGTCCCACGGCAACTTTTTTCACCCGGCGCGTTCGCTGAGCACCCCGGGGGGCGCCCACGTAGTTCAAGAAACCCCAAGACGTCCCAACAAATCCATACGATGGCCCGAAGAGAGCCTCATGACGGCCCAGGATGGCTCCAAAACGCTCCCCGAAACTTTCCCAATCGTGACCTGGTCGTTCGGGAAGCCGCGGGTGGAAACAGGGCGGTCTGAGGAAACTCCCGCAGGCCCCTAGAAGGCGCCCAAGTGTCTTCCAGTGGGGCCCAAGAAACGCGTACAAGCGCCCGTGGGCCCCCATTAGAGGCTTTCCAAGGAAGGACCTCGGCAAAATGAGCTGAGGCGGCTGGGGAAGAATTTGCTGAGAAGGGCGGTACTGAGGAAGAGGAAGAGAAACCATGGGTAATCAACAGTATTAGTTGCACGACGATGTTGGGAGCACACAAGCAACAAGGAGTTATTATTACATGTTCTGTTTTGCGTTCCTGCCGTTCCGCCAGCCTGCCAAACTCCAGAGACCAAGGTGCACGGTGCGAGGCGCTGGCACAGCGACACACTTCAACACGAACACACACACACACACACATCTATGCACATATACATATATATATACATACGTATATGTATATACACAAACATACATACATACATACATACATACATACATACATACATACATACATACATACATACATACATACATACATAGATACATCTGTACACAAATAGCAGTGTGTATATTGCATACATATATGCACATTAATCCACGAATGTATGCAAACATGAATATATACATATATATGTATATATGTATGTGTGTGCGCACCGGTCTCTATGTCTCTCTCTCTCTGTTTCCATCGATCTCTCTATCTCACTCTGTCCCCTCCCCAAACACACGCAAATGTCTGAGCACGTAGACAGCCGCATCCTCATCCTCCCCTCCCCCCAGTTCTCGCCCTCCTCGTCCGTCATCTCCTGTGAGTCAAAGGGAACATCGGCGCCGGTGCATCCGCGATTGAATGCACATCTAATCTGGTAGAGTCGCGTTACATGTTGCTGAATTCCGTTTGGCCAATCCGCCTTCATTGTTTTGCAATCGGGCTTCATAGCCCTGAATCGTTATTCTCATGAAGACCTCCCAGGAGTTGCCTCCTCGCCCTTCGCCGCCTTCTCCCCAGCCCGCGTTCGGCGGGCCATCGGTCAAATAGTGCGGCCCGAAGAATTGCAGTCCTGGGCCGAGGCCTGCGTCTCGCAGCGGCTCCGCCCAGAGGCCGCCACTGGGCACGCGCCCCGCGCGAGGGAGGCGGAGGAGGAGGAGGAGGTGGCGACGAAGGAGGAGGGGGAGAAGGAGCGGAGACCTCCATCCAGGGCGGGAAGGACGAGGAGGAGGAGGAGGAGGAGGAAAGGAGGAGGAGGAGGAGGAGGAGGCGGAGGCGGAGGAAGAGGAGGAGGAGGAGGAGGAGGAGGAGGAGGAGGAGGAGCGTGGGGTGGGGGGCAATAGACGTGGGGGAGGGGATCGAGGATTGCAAGGGAGTGACCTTAAATTGGGGCCCAGACGAGCTTCATGCTTAGACTGCTGCTGCGGGCCCAGAGGTGCACGAAGAGCGCACGATTTTTCCACCCACGGACACACCTGACCATCGCGAACGAGAGGGTGTCCCTGCTCAACATGGATAAGTTCCAGTTGCCCGTGTGGGGGGAAGAATGTGACCAGAGGAGCATCGGAGGAGAAGAGGAGATGGAGGAATTGAAAGCGGAGGAGGAGCAGGCGGAGGAGGACAGCATTCCCGTTGGCCACAGCGTTTCGCAACGAGACGCGGCAGACGGCGGTAGCCGCGATCGTCCAAGTACAATTCACGCTGCTGCCAAGCAGCGAGTGGACTTTCTCAGCTAGGCTACCTTGCTGTCCGCTGGCGGGCCTGGGGCGGGGGTCTCGGCGCCACCTCCTCGGCCCAGCTTGACGCCGACGGCTCCCACGCCAGCGCTTGCCAGACCAGCGGGGGCGCCGTCCAGCGCCACGGCGGCTTGGAGACAACGATAAGGGAAGTCTGGTGGGGAGGTGGCGGCACTGCACGCCACGGTGCGAACACCGGCCCCCGACGACCTGGGACAGGCGCCGCGCGCGGCGGCTGGCAGGGAGGCTCGGGGCGCCCATCCGGAAGCCGGCCACATGGACGCCCTCTACGAGGAGGTAGGCGCCCCTTGGCTGGTGGACGTCACATCCCGCCACCCAGCGATCTGGGCCGCAGCGCGTCGGGCAGTCGAAGCCACGCGCAGGGCCTAGCGGGGAGAGGCGTGACTGGTGCCCAGGCGATCGCATGCTTGCCCCACTCGCGCTGGAGGCCTCGGCCCGGCCCGGGCGCCGAAGCGTGGCACTGGCCCTCCGCGCAGGAGCGAGGGCTTCCCCAGGACACGTTGCCCCTGGCAGGCTGCGCGCCAGATCGGGCACGCCGCCGGGCTGCGCGGGAGGCGCGCGGGGTGCTGGGGGGCGCGCCCCGCGGGCTGGTGGGCCCGGGGCGGCGCTCGGCTGCGACAGGTACAACGACGAGCCACGGACGCGCCTGCGCTACAGTCGGGGCCCTGAAAGGAACCCTTTTGGTTAGGGAGGGGCTCCGCGTTCCTTAAGTGTGTCACAGCTTGCCTCAGGTTTTCTTTATGTCTTCGATCGGAAATCGAAGTTTAGCTTATGGAAAAAGGGGCCTCGTTGCTTATTTAGGGTTCCTTAGGTCAACGCCCCGACTGTAGCGCCAAGCATGTCAGTTCCACGCGTCGCAGCCACGCGGGCACGTGCCTCTTCACGCGCGTCACCAGCCCAGTGGCCATTTGGCGGACGCTTTTTCCAGCCTCCACGCTCGGTCAGCACGTCAACGCGGGCCTTTGACATGTTCACAGGAAGCGTCGCCGCAGCGCACGCGGGCGACCGCGACCGCGTCTCTCCACGTGGACCAGCGCGACTCGACGGCGACGCGCGCAAAATAATGAGGGACGGTGGACGGGACCGTGCCAGCGCAGCTCTACTTGCGCGCGAACAGCCACAGTGACTGGGTTGCCCGTGCACACCATGCTTTCGGGCCTCAGTGGCCCAGCCGAGCGGGGCGCTCACGCGCGAGCAGCAGGCAGCGCTCCAGGCGTCTGCCCCGACGGTTCGCCGCGTCGCTCTTGCTTCTCTTGCTCGCGGCGCTCGCCCAAATCACGCAACGCATGCGGACATTGGCTAATGGTGCGATCGGCGGGCGCCATTCAGCCACACGCCGTAGCCGATCTGGCGGCCGTGCCGGCGGAGGGGTTTTGGCCGTGCTGCGCGCAGACATGGCGCCCGTCAGCGCCTTCTCCCCGCGCGGGAGGCACCGCTGCACATCTGAGCCCGCGCGCCCCGTTCCCGCCGAGGCCGGTCGGCTCGGCGCAGAATCTCTCTCCCGGGAGCTCGCCCAGGCGCAGCAGTCGTCGCTCGTGCCCTCTGCCTCCGAGCCCCGTGCACGCGCAAGTTGGCTCCCAGCGCTGCCATGTGCAATGCGTTCGCGTCCTCCTCCAGGGCCTGCGATGTCCGGTCCGGCTTTGGTGCGCTTCCTTCTCGTAGTCGGTCTCGAACACCGACCTGTCAAAGTAGATGCCGCGGCTGTCGGTGCGCCTGCCCAGCGCTCGCAGCTGTTGCGCCGACGCAGCAAGGCGCCATGCGCGCCGCAAAGCTAGGTCGTCGGCTTCACCGTGCTGGCGCACTTGCGCGCCATGGGCAACGGCCCACCCGCGAACTCCAGCTCGATACGGGCCCCCTCATTCTGCGGCCTCTTGAACGGTCCAGCTCCGACCTCCTGTCCGTATGCCGCCGTTGCGAGGCGGACGCGGCTCGCACTGGCAGCTCCTCGACGACCCACAGCGTCATGTTGGTAGCAGTGCGTTCCAGCGTCACGTTGAACTGGCAGTAGATAGGAGGGAGGAGGGGGAGGGAGGAGGAGGGAGGAGGAAGGAGGTCTTTCCTGACGCAGCTTGTGGCGTGGGCCTCGTGGATGCCCCTGGGTGCCGCTAGGGATTCCCTTCGCCTTCGGAGGCCGTCTTGGGGCCTCACTAGGCCGTTTTGGGGTTCGCTTGGGGCGCGTGAGGGCCGCTTTGGAGGTTTCGAGCAGGGCTGGACCTAAACGGTGTTTTTGCAATTTCGTTGGCCGTTTTCGTTTCGAATTCGGTTTGCGGTACAGGCGGATTGAATACACAACGAATCGAACAAAACCAAAGCAACACCGCTTAGGTTCAGCCTTGTTGGAGGTCTCGAGTGCCGTCTTCAGGCCCTCTTGGGATTGTCCTGGAGGGCTCCAGGACCGTCCTGGGGGCGCCTTCGCCGTGAGTTTGCACTTCTTCATCGGGTGGGCTCACAAGGTAGGAAGTTGGATGTTTGGATTCAATGAGCCTTGGGGGGCAGGGGGGAGCAAGGATCATGTGGGATATCTGCGACTTTCCCTCTGGCTCATCATCCTCACTCTACCTGTTCCCTGCTCCTGCCTCCTCTTCTGGGAGGGAGGGAGGGACGATGTTTCATCTGGTCCTCCCGCGAGAGGGGGGAGGGAGGAGCGGGAACGGGAGGAAGAGCAGGACGAGGATGGCCTGGGAAAGGAGCAGCAGGACGGCGAGTGCAGTAACGGCGAGAGTGACGAGGAGGAAGACACGAAGACGTGGAGGATGAGGCCGACGAAGATGAAGGTAAGCATGTGGGTGATGAGTCGTAGGATGTGAGGACAAGGGTCTGGAAAACGATAGGGACAGCAGTAGTGGGAATAGCAGGAAGGCAAATTGCTTCCAGGTGATTTACTGGCGGTCATGCAGCAACAGGAGGGTTGGATGAAGACATGGCCTCGGTTACGGCTCAAGAGGCACAACCTCTCGTGGAGTTAGACGTGGTGCAGTTGGAGAGAGGCAAGACTGTAGGCCTGGTCGCTGCTCTTGCCGCCAATGAGACTCGAAGCGTGCACATGCTCTTTGTAGGACGAGGTGTCAGCAGCATGACTAGCGACACGGAGCGTGTGAGGAATCCACATATTGTTCGGACGCGCATGTCTGCGAGTCTTGCAATCCAGGGATCCGTGGTGCTCGTTTTGGCTTTCCCTTCGTCCTCGCCTTTATCCTCCTCCACGGGTGTATGGAGGTTGGACAAGGCAGTATTTCATGTCTTGTTCTCCTGAGCCCAAGGTCCACTCCAATCTCGCTCACGACCGTCAGCTCCACCTCGGATGGGAAGACGAGATGGAAAGAGCTTTGAGTCATTGTGTGTTGTCAGGGAGTGCCGCCTTAACGGGCGCTTCGTCGTCATCTCCTTCGATGATGAAAACCGATGTTCCTGAACCCGATGATCCAACGATCTGTATATTGTATACACCCCCTTGTCAGACCAGCACACATCCCCAAAGGGTGCCGCACGTGTCTATCTCCAAATAACCGCCCTTGCGACAGGAAAAGCAGGACGAGGGAGAAGGAGGTGGAGGGGGAGGAGGAGAAAGATGGACAGGAGAAGGGGAAGGAGGAGGAGGATCTTGTGAAGGTTGGAGGAGGATCTACGTAGATGGTGGTCAGAAGAGGAAGCAGGAGGAGTACGGTACGAGGATGGAAGGACGAGGATAGACATGGAAGTTAGCAGAGGAGAGAAACGGTCTGGATGGGATAGTATCGGAAGGAACGGGCATGTTTGGACAAGATTTTAGCTGGGTGAGGTGAAGGACAGGAGGAGAATAGTAGGAGGATGGCGAGGAGGGGGGCACGATGAGACGCAGCAGGATAATCAGGAGCAGGTGGGAAATTTGGATCAGGCGGCGGAAAAAGAGGATGACACACACACACACACACACTCATACACAAACACGCACACGTGAAGGACACTGAAAAGGGCAACGGCGCGGAGGACGAGCACGCAGGAGGAGGACAATGGCGGCGACAACGACGACGACGTTGAGGATTGGGCCAGAAACGGGGGAGGGGGACGGGAGAAGAGGGAGTGAGGAGGGCGGGGAGGGAGGGGTCCTCACCACCCACCAAACCGCCCCAAGCCAATCCGGCCCGAAGGCCCCGTTGCGCCGTGCATTCCCAGTGGGGGGGGGGGCGCGTCGGGAGCACGGGGCAGGGGACAGGAAGCGGGGAGGACGCCGAGGAGAGCTGGCAGCGTCCGCGGCAGCGGCGGAAGCACCCGCGGCGGGCAGGCACGGCACGGCCATCCCTGGCGCTCGCACCAGTGACGATCCAACGGCGGGCGCAGACGAAGCAGGATTCAGACCGTCGGACCGAGGCACTCCTCCTCCCTCCTCCCTCCTCCCTCCCTCCCTCCCTCCTCCCTCCTCCCTCCTCCTCCTCCTCCTCCTCCTCCTCCTCCTCCTCCTCCTCCTCCTCCTCCTCCTCCTCCTCCTCCTCCTCCTCCTCCTCCTCCTCCTCCTAGCCCCTGCGGCAGAGGAGCGCCCCCCCCCGCCCAGGGCGCGGCGGCCGCGCGCGCCGCGATTGTGCGGGTTCCACGAGTTCTGGGTACTGAATTTCTTCCTCTGCTTACTTCCGCATACCTCGCAGGGGCATCGCGGAGTGAGCCAAGCTCGTGTTCGGCGGCGAGGTCGAGTGGTTTCATCGTCGCTTGATGTCATGGCGCTACGGGTCCACCGTGGACCTAGCGCCCTGGAGGCAGACGGCAGCGCAGGCTCAGGCCAGGAGGCAGACCTGGCAGGCTGCTGCTGGCCACGTCGTGATTATCGAGCGGGTGGTGGCGGCGGCGGTGACGGCGGCGGTCACTGCAGCCATCCCCGCGAAGGCGCGCCCTGCGCGGCAGGCGCCGGAGCCGTCAGCGGCCCCCCCGAGGCCCTCGCAGGCCTCGTCGCGGCAGCTGGCTGGCGATCGAGGACGGTGTGGCGTCGGAGGCGGCGGAGGAGCCCCCACCGCTGCGCCGCCTGCGCAGGTGGGACAGGCCGACAGCGGCGACGGCGGCGGCGCCGAGAACGCCCCCCAGGCGCCCCGGGGCTCGGGCGCAGGCGACGAGCCCGCCCCCGGGAGACCTGCGGCCGCTGGAGGAGCCTTGCCCCGCGGCCCCACCGCAGGGCTGGGTGGGGGCAAACAGCACCTCCAGCCTGAGGGAGTACAAGGCGGCGCCGAGGGCTGCCAGGCTGCGCTCCAGGTCGCGCCGTCGGCGCAAGAGGTGCAGCAGCAGCAGCAGCAGCAGCTCGCCGCCGCAGGAGGTCAACTGATGGCCGAGAGCGGCGAGCAGTTCGACCAGGCCTACGTGTCCTTCGGCGGCCCGAGCGGCGTCGTGAGCGGCGGCCAGTTCTACTACGAGGACCAGGCCTGCGCTTCCTTCGGCGGCCCGTGCGACGCCGAGATCGACGGCCAGTTCAACTACAAGATGGCGGTTCCTATCGAGACGCGGTTCCTTCAACTACAATCGAAGGAGGCGGCGCTACAGGTGCAGTTCGCCGCCGAGGCGGGGTCGGGGGGGGGGCCAGTGGGATTCTGGCCCACGAAGTCGCAGGCCTCCCCCCGCGGCCAGGGCTCGGCCTCCGTGTCCTTCGGCGGCCCGTGCGACGTCGACACCGACGGCCAGTTCTACCACGAGGAGGCGGCGCTGCAGGAGCAGACCGCCGACAAGCAGGGCATCGCGTTCTTCGGCGGCCAGGGCGACGTCGATGGCGATGGCCAGATCAACTACAAGGAGGCGGCGTTGCACGAGCAGCTCGCCGCCCAAGGCATTCCCGTCTATAGGCTGGACGCTGACGAGATGGAGGATGCGGACATGCAGCTCTCGCTCGGCGCGGAGACGAAGTTCGGCGACTTCCCCGCGATCCCGAGCTTCCCGACCTTTGCGGAGGCGCCCAAGGCGGAGACCAATTGGGAGGGCGCCCTGAAGGCCAACGCCGCCGTGTTCCTCAAGGAACAGCAGATCCAGGCGGCCAGGCGTCTCGGACAGGAGCGCGTCTTCGAGAAGCTGATCGGCTTCGACTCGGTGGACGCCTACCTCGAGAAGCCCGCTGGCCCGCAGCACGCCTGGCTGGCCCACCAAGCGCTTGTCTGCGTCGAGCTGGTGGCGCTGGTCGAGACCTTCGGCGAGGAGTTCGTCACTGACCTCATTGGTGACCTTCACGGCGAAAGTGGCGCGGCAAGTTCATCAGGCCCGACGGGCTCGAGGTGAACTTGACCTGACAGGTTGGGGGGGGGAGGAGTGCTCCAAGCAGGCCGTGGCCTCTGGGGCCCTGTCCGCCGCCCCCCTTGCTCCCCCTCGTGCTGCGGTGGCCTCGGGTGGCCCCGCTCGGGGGGGTTGGCCACGCTTGGGGTGTTCCTCCTCCCTCGCGCGCCATTTCTGTCTATGTTTTCATTCGCCCGCGCGCGGGCGAGCGCGGCAGGAGACTGTCCGCGAGGTCGTCTCATCGTCTCCTCGCCTCCTCCTCCTCTTCCTCCTCTCCCTCCTCCTCCTCCTCCTCCTCCTCCTCCTCCTCCTCTTCCTCCTCCTCCTCCCTCTCCCTCCTCCCTCCTCCTCCTCCTCCTCCTCTCCTCCTCCTCCTCCTCCTCCTCCCTCCTCTCCCTCCCTCCCTCCCCCCTCCCTCCCTCCCTCCCTCCTCCTCCTCCTCCCCTCTCCTCCTCCTCCTCCTCCTCCTCCTCCTCCTCCTCCTCCTCCTCCTCCTCCCCTCCCTCCCTCCTCTCCTCCTCCTCCTCCTCCTCCCTCCTCCTCCTCCTCCTCCTCCTCCTCCTCCTCCTCCTCCTCCTCCTCCTCCTCCTCCTCCTCCTCCTCCTCCTCCTCCTCCTCCTAAAGGAGCGACGTTATGCCTCGCATCGCTCGGACGTGTGCGTCTTTTGTTTCTCGGCCAGGGCCATTGAGGAGCATCCTGGATTAGCGCGTGAAGCAATACAGAGGGGGGCCATGCCAAGAAACACCCCGCTTGCCTCAGGGGTGCCCTGGGTTTCTTGGGTTTCGATGGTTTTGCTGTGGAGAGCGCGACGCTTCCACGCCAAAAGTCTCCGGGCGTCCCGGGGTCTCAAGGTTGGGTTTCTTGTGAAGGTTTCTCGTGGGCTAGCCGCCACTGTAGAAGATCGAGGTCGGTTTGGGGAGGGCACCCTAATGTTATTCGTGTTTGTTGGATGTTTGTGTGCATCCTGGGGAGGGTGCCCTTGCATGTTCTTTCTGCTTTGGCCGACGGAGGGGCGCATGTTCTTGAGGAAGGTTCTTTTGGGCCAGGTCCGATTGCAGCTGTCCAACCCTTGGAGACGAAAGTGGGGCGTACACGAAATCCCTTCCAAACGAAGAGGAGGTTGCTTTGACTGCGTGGGTGGCGCTGCCGCGCGCGCGTCCCGCGTCCTGGGTCCCCTCATCTATTCATCTTGGGGATAATTGGAGGAGGGGGCCCAGGATGAGGGACGCAGACCTCACAGGTGTTGCTATTCTTTCTGTCAAAATATGATCGAAGACGTCTACGGCAAATTACCGCCGCCCCCTGCTTTTTGGCGAGCGCATCTATGGCCAAACGATGGACCCCATCTTGGCCAAGCCATCGGACTATGTGTTCACCCAGCCTTTCTTGAAACTCTTGGGGGAACACTTGGAGGAGGATGAGGGGGAGGAATGACCCAAGAGACCTTCTGGGGGTCTCTTTGGTCATTCTTGGGCGTTCCTGGGAGTCTTTTGGGGGCCTCCTTGGGGTTCTTGGGGACCTTTGGGGCTTATTCGGGGTTTCTTTTGGCCGTCTTAGGGGCGTCTTTGGGCCGTACGGGGCCGTCTTGGAGGCTTCTTGGGCGGACGTGGAAGCATTTTGGGCCAACTTGGAAGCCATATTGGACCCTCTTGGGCCGTCTTGGAGACCATCTTGGACCATTTTGGGCGAACTTGTCGGAGACCGAAAAGACGCTTATGCCAACATCCTTCAAAAACCTAAGAAGGGCAATCAGTGATGTAGGCCTCTTCGGGCCCTTCTGGAGGACCTTTTGGAGGCCTCTTGGGCCGTTTTGGACGCCTCTTGAGGGCGCCGTCTTGGGCCATCTTGGAGGCTTCTTGGGCGGGCTCGGAGCCATCTTGGACCATCGTGGGCAGTCTTAGAGGCCATCTTGGGCCATCTGGACCCCAAGATCTTGTAAACTCTGAGGATGTTCCCTAGCGAGACGGCCATTGGGGAGGCACGGCAACCAGCCTTTCCAGGGAAAATGCATGTCTTCCTCTACTCGACGGCGAGCGAGGGGGCAGGGCTGGACCTGAACGGTGTTTTGGCGATTTCGTGGGCCGTTTTCGTTCCGATTGCGTTTTGCGGTAGGGGTGGATGGACGACAACACGAGGGAACACGAAACCAAAGCGAAAACGAAAAACACCGTTTAGGTTCAGCCCTGCGAGGGGGGACGCGAGGAGGGGCGGGCCTTCTCGGAAGGCTCAGAGGCCCCCCGGCCCTCGTCCGAAGAGAGCGCGCGGCCGTCGCGGCGAGCACCCCCCGCGCGGCGAGCACTCGGCGGCCGCCGCCCGTGGCCGCGGGCGTCGCGCGTCGCGCGGGCCTCGGTTTTGTGTTGCCCGCCGCACCCGGCATGGCGAGCCTCCTCTCCCTCCTCTTCCTGCTCTGCTGTTGCCGCCGCCTTTTTCTCCTCCTCCTCCTCCTCCTCCTCCTCCTCCTCCTCCTCCTCCTCCTCCTCCACAATTACACAATATGAAAATACTCTCCCACTTCCCCTGATGGCGTCCGGAAAATATTCGGCACCCCCGCGCGTACTGTTTTTTTACACACAGGATTCCCCGGAGTTGGGTTTTCGCTTGTGTTTTTTTCTAAAATGCTGCTCTCGCTGAGGCGCCGGCCTCATTTCTGCTCCCGAATCGTTCCGAATCGTGCTCCCGCTCCAGCGTGGGCCTCATTTTCGGATCGGTGTTTGGCCTCCGTCGTTCAGGATGGCGTTCTCGCCCCAGCGCGGGCCTCTTTCTCGCGCGCCCATCCGCCCGCCACCACCGCGCCGCACCACCACCACCACCACCACCACCACCACCACCACCACACCACACCACCACCACCACCACCACCACCACCACCACCACCACCACCACCACCACCACCACCACCACCACCACCACCACCACCACCACCACCACCACCACCACCACCACGCACACACGCACGCACGCACGCACGCGCACCACCACCCACTAGTTACGCACGCGCGCGCGGAGCCACAGGTCCGCTACGACACGCGTCCGCGGATAGAGAAAATCAGCGCCATGGTAAGGGATGGGAGGGAGGGGTAGGACGTCAGATATGACGCGAGCGCACCTAGCTTGTCCTCCTCCTCCTCCTCCTCCTCCCTCCTCCTCCTCCTCCTCCTCCTCCTCCTCCTCCTCGCACCCTCCTGCCTCGCCCTCCTCCTCTGGCAGTCACCTCCGGGCCGCCTCTCGGGGACCCCCCCCCCCGCCCCGCCCTGCCGCCTCTCCCCAGCCTCGCAGCCTCGTTCCGTCTGCCTGGCTGGTCGCGCCCACAGCCACACCACGGCTGGCCGGTCCTCGTCTGAGAAGTGTTCGAAGCCTTCCGGGAAGGCTCCGGGGAATGTCCCCGAAAACAGAATTGTTTTCCGAAGGCGCGAGGGCTTCTGAGAAGTCCCGGCGCCTTCTGAGAAGGCGTTCTCCTTTTCACTTCCCACTTTCGCTCGCCGCCGATCTACATCATGGATCGTGAATCCCCCGCGGCGGATCCAGGCTATTTGCGAGCAGCTACTTCGAGGTTAGTGGAACGCCCTTGCCCAGACTTGGGAGGCTCGGAGGGCCCGGCAGGTGTGCTGATGAGCTCGTGCCCTCCCCCCCCCCCCCCGCGCCTGCGGGCCCCCCTTCTCCTCCAGCAGCATCCTGGACCCTCGGGGGGCGAGGGCAATTCCTCTCACGCGCCCCTTCGCTCCGAGCAAGGGGAGGAGGAGGAGGAGGAGGAGGAGGAGGAGGAGGAGGAGGAGGGGCGACGGACACCGACGGACCCGACTGCCCCGGCGGTCGCGCCGCGTAAGCTCTCCGCGCAAGCGCTGGCGGCCCCCGTGAGCCACCGCGCAAAAGCCCGCTTCGGATCGTCGCCCAAGTGGCCGGCGGGGGTCGGCGGACATCCTTCCCCTCCTCTCGTCCTCCCGCCTTCTCGCTCCCGTGCTCCTCCCAATCCGTCCTCCTTCCCCCGCGCAGTGCTTCCCTCCCCCCCCAGTGGTGTACTGCCGCGCGTCGGTGCTGCTGGCGCGGCGCGTATGCGCCTGCCCGAATCTCCCCCTGGCATCGCTCGGACGTGTGCATTTTTTCTCGGCGAGGGCCGTCGAGGAGCACCCTTGATCATTTCGCGAACCAAAAACCGCGCACGAAGCCGAAAGAAGACACAGGAAATGGACGTCCGAGCGATGGCCAGATTTGGTCCCCGCGCAGTCCTGCTGGAGACGGCCCTGGACGCCACCCAGAAGAACTCCGCCCTCGAGGCCCCGCCGCGCGCGGGGAAGCCCGGAGGAGGAGGGGGAGGACGCGAGGGAGGGGGGGCCCGGGAGGACGAGGCGCGGAGGGGGGGGGGGAAGGGAGGGGAGGAGGTGAGGAGGAGGGAGGACGGGAGGAGGGAGAGAGAGAATAGAGAGAGAAAGAGATAGAGAGAGAGAGAGAGAGAAACAACAACAACAAAAAAAAAAAAAGGGAATGGGGAGGAACGAGAAAGAGAGAGGGAGGGAGAGAGAGAGAGAGAGAGAGAGAGAGCCAACACGGAAAGGCATCACTACTTTGAGAGGAGGGACGACCAGGAAAAGGACGACTCTAGAGACTCTAGAGCCAATCTCGCCCAGCGCCCAGGAGGAGGAGGACCGGCGAGAGGCGCACGAGACGCAACGGCCAACCCGCCAGCGTCTGCACAGCGAGACAGCGGGAGGCGCCTCCGCACGCAAACCTGCTCCTCGGCCTCCTGCAGGAGCCCTGGCCGCCAGGCCAGGCATGGCGCCACTCTGCTGCGCTTGCGCGGCGGTCGGGCTCCTCCTCCTGCTGCTCCTCCTCCTCCTCCTCCTCCTCCTCCTCCTCCACCCCCTCCTCCTCCTTCTCTTCCTCCTCCTTCCCCCCTTTCCCCTGCCCCCCCCATGGATCAAGCGGGTCCTGGGAGACAATCCTGAGGATGGTCGCCGCCTGCGGGGCTCTCGGGGCACCCTCTCTCTGGGCCCGGGAGACCGTCCGAGAACCATTCCGGATGGGCAGCTGGTCCTGGATGGCCCTGGTTTCGAGGGCCCGTTTCCTGCACGTCAGACCACGCCGCGGCGTTCAAGGTAGAACGCCCCCAGCGGCCCAGAACCGTCGAACACGGGGCCATCCGGGGATCGAAAACCGCCGATCGTTCAAGGTTGAACGATCCACGAGGTGTCAGAAACCAACGCCGAAACTTTCACGACACGAATCTCGTTAGGGCCGTGGAGAGGGAGGAGGGAGGAATGTGGAGGTGGAGGGTGGGAGGAGGAGAGCGCTACGAGCTTCGAAGGCAATGATGCTCCAGAGGTGCCTCGTGGGGCCCGTGGGGAGCCGGGAGCGTCAGGTAGGGGGGAGTAGGATGAAGGGAGGAGGTGGATGAGAAGGACCAGCAGCATCAGTAGCAGCGAGGGATGGGGAAGGAGAAGGAAGCAGTTACCATTATGGGGGAGGGTGGAGGGGATCCACAATCACAACCAGACGTTAGCTCAAGCCTTCCCGGCTAGCACCACTGAGAGCCAACAACCGATCGTTTGGTCTGCCAACTCCTGTCCAGCCATGCGGATTGCCGTGTTTCTTATCTCTCGGCTCCTGGCACCAGGGCTTGCTGCGCGCAGCAATTTCGAGGATGTGTTTGCTGCGCTCGAAGACGCGAAGAGCCGCGCCGAAGGCGGCGGTGAGTCCGTCGCGGACATCCACACGAAGCCCGGCGCAGAGCTGCCAGATCTGGGGGCAGATTTCACATCGGTGTTGGAAGAGGGTTTTGGAGGATCACAGAACCTCAGCCGGCAGAGCCGAGGCGAGGACGTCGAATGCTTTTGCATTGACCATTACGAGTTCGTTGATTGGGACGACTACAGCAAGTATAGCGACCCAGAGGATTGCATGCAGGGTGGCGGCAGGTGCAACGAGAAGTGCGAGCAGCATGGCAAGCACATCGTCACCTTCGAGGGGACGCATCAGACTCTCTCCTTCTGCGGGACCGACGAGGGCCGTCCGAGCAGCGAGCCGGAGTGCCAATGCCTAGACGGGACGGAGACTTTCAAGCACTCGAACAAGAAGAAGGCCGTCAAAAAATATGGGAACCCGAACGTCCTTACTCAGTTTGCCAACGGCGCCTGGCACGCGTACGACGGTTACGGAAGCAACGCCGCCAATCTCCGAGCGTGTTACCAGAATTGCCCGAGCCTTTGCGCCTCGCACAAGAAGCTCACGGGCGGCTGCGCCATGCCGACCCGCGCATGAGGTTTGCTAGCCGACCGGCCTTGGTCGTTCTCTTCCTCTTCCCCCTCTCGACTAGACGTAAGGGTGACCTTTCGCCAGAGTGACCTTTGGTGCGGGCCCAATGGGGTCCCCCGACCGCCGAGCGCGATGCGATAGGAGCGTCTTGCGCGCCTGTGTTTGGGCACCCCGCGGCCCCCGAAGACCCGCGCACCAAAGGTCACTCATACCCAGGGTCACTCTCGCGCGTAGCCGACCCTCCCAGTGGCGATGATGTCCACCACATCCATGCGTTGTGACGGGCAGCAAATCCTTTTTGCCTCCAGAGCAGCAGATGGAGCCTTGGCCACCAAAAACACACGCGTCAGCAGACAAACAGATATCGGCGTCGCCTAAGGCGAACCACCGCCGCCCCCTGCCTCTTGGAAGCGCCAATGTGGCCAAACGCTGGGCCAAGGTATTGCGAAGCTATGGGACTACGTGTTCCTCCCAGCCGTTGTGGAAACCCTTTTGTGGAAGCACTCATAGGAGGAATAGAGGAGGAGACGGAGGAGGAGACGGAGGAGGAGACGGAGGAGGAGGAGGAGGAGTAGGAGGAGGAGGAGGAGGAAAAGGACCTGGCGGCCTCCTCGGGGTCTCTTGGAGGCTCTGGGGGCCTGCAGGGGGCCGCTTTGGTTTCGGAGACCGTACTCGAGGCCATCGGGGGATCCAGGCCCCTTGCGTGGCATGGGGAAGCATCTGTGGATCGCGGTGTCCACGGTCGCGACGTGGGTCACCGAGCGCGTGCCACTACTCGCAGAGTGCCTCCTCGCAAACGTCCGAAAAGCACATGCCTGTCTTGCTGCAATGCATCGCAGGTCCCCCGCGGGGGGATCCGGGCCACTTGCGAGCAGCGACTTTTTGCGAGTAGTGGAGCGCGCTCGTCTGGTGGAGACGTGTGGTTTGCGCACAGGTTTGCGGACAATCAGGATGTGCCAATTTACACTCGGGCATGGTTCTTTGGCGCCGCCAACAGCAGCGAACTATGCCCGTTCGGAGTGCACGCCGGGCCTAGCAGAATATTGAGGGGGGTGTTCCCCACTGTACCTCGTTGCTCCTCATCCTGCTCATCATCATGCACTGGCCTCCTTCCGTCCTGTTCCCGCCAACGTCTTCACTCTCCCCCCACTCTCTTCCTGTTATCCCTGTCCTCCCTCTTTCCTCTCTCCTCTCGCCCATTGTTTCTTCTCGCCTCCCTCTACGTATGCCCGCCCTCACCTGATTGATTGATCTCCCTCTCATTCCGTTCCTTTCCCGTTCGGCATTATCCTCATCATCAGCATCGTCATCAGCATCATCATCACCATCATCATTATCATCATCAGCAGCAGCATCACCATCGCTATTGTAGTAGTATTCTTCCTCCAGCTGCTCTCTTATCCATCTTCCTCTTCCTCTCACATGTATCCCTTGACTTCCTCTCCCTCCTCATTATATCCCCCTCCCTCACCTCCATCCATATCCTCCACCTAATCCTCCCCCTCCTCCGTCTCCCCCTCGTCCTCCTTTTCCTCGTCTCACTCATCTACACTCACCCGTCCTTAACCGTCGTCATCCGTCCTCCTCCATCTGCAGCTGGGAGGGAGGTGCCCTTGCAGGCCGTCATGGCCGTCATAGGTCGTTCCTCTCTATTCGACGGTCCTGCTCAGGGCCAGAGGACTGCTCCCAGCGAGGCTGTAGGATATGGCCCCGACGCTGTTCGAATATCCTTTTCAACGTTTCCCAGCAGGGTAGCCTAGAGCTGCCACGCAGGAGCCAGTGCCCAGGATGGCAACCGTTCCTTTCCTCTGTCGTCATCCTCGTCGGCGAGCGTGGGTGGGAAGTGAGAAGGAGAAGGCTTTCTCAGAAAGCGGCGGGGCTTCTCAGAAGCCCTAACACCTTCTGATAAGTGTTTTGTGTCCTGGGGGAAGGCTTAGAAAACTCCTCGGAAGGCGGGGGGACATCCGAGCCTTTGAGAAGGCCCGCCCCTTTTGAGTTCACCCCTGGGCTCGCCGCCGAACACAGCGGCGCAGCTCGCCCGGCGAGCTGGCATGCACTTCTGGTGAATGCATGCGTGGGGATCTACGAATACAGGTCAGATGAGCACCTCAGCACGTGTGGCCACTCAGCTGAGTCGAATTTCCTACCACCACTCCACGAGGTGTGACCCCCAGGCCGAACACAGGAACCAGTGCTCAGGATGGCAATCATTCCGTTCCTCCGTCCTCCTCCGTCCTCGCCCGCCCTCCTGCCCTTTTGCGCTTCTCCGCCGCCCTCGCGCCCGCTGGCCGCCCGCACCCGGAGAGGTCTACTGGCAGCTGCCGGGCCGCGACGGACTGCACTGGGACGAGGGCCGGTCGAAGCTGCGGGCGGTCCTGGAGCTGCTCGAAGAGGTGCCTTCACTATCGATCGGGCAAGACGAAAGGGGGGGATTGGGAAAGAGGGGGGTACGGAATCTGCTGCATGCAGCTGGTTTCAGCCCCACCGAGGGGCCCATTCCTAGATACATGGCCGCCTCCGTCGCCAGGAGGCGCCGGGAAAATCAGGCTACGTGAGCAGATTCTCACCCCCCCCCTTTCGCCCGGCCCGAATCGAGTCCTTCGGTAGCAAGTCATTCGACTAGACGTAGGAGTGACCTTTCGCCGGAGTGACCTTTGATGCGGGTCCAGTGGGTCCCCCGATCGCCGAACTCGAAGCAGTAGCAGCGGCTTGCGCGCCCAGGTTTGGTCCCCCCGCGTGCGCTAGCGTCTGAGAATTGATGAGAGAGCGCCGATTTAGATAGAGTCGATTACAGCGTCTAGTCGCAAGAGCTAGCAAGATGCCACGGGAGGCTCCCACGAGTTGCCACCGAAGGGTCGTCCTCACGACGCTCTCTCCTCTTCCTTCCTCTGCAGTCTCCACCTCCTATCTCCTCCCCCGCGAAGCTGCGAGTAATCCTTGAGTTGCTCGAAGAGGCGGCTTCCCCATCGGGCCACTGCTCCCTCCTCCTCTAACAAGTCCTCCGTTTCTTTTCTCGAGATCCTCTGCCTTCTCCACCTAACTCCTCCTCGGCCTCATTCTCAACCGCTCCTTTCCCAGGCTTCAAAGTCTCAACAATGCATCCATGGTGGATTGGTCTCAGCAGTGAATCCTGGGTGGATGTCTGGTACGCTATGCTTCACGAATACTTGCGAATCCCGAGCTATATCAGAAGGGACGTTCGGAGTGAACTTCGGATGAGTTTCTGAGGGCTCTCAAGTGCGTCAGTGTTGTTGGAAAAAGACAGCACATCAAGATTCCGTCCAAATTCATTCCGCAATCCCTTTAGAAACACATTGTGGACGCGCGCGGCGTCGGGCAGAGCCGGCTCTTCACCCTTCGTTTGCTCAGTTGCATTCAGTTAACCTCAGTTAACTTCCATGTATTTCAGTTATCCTCAGTTGGCCTCAGTTAACCTCAGGTGACCTCAGCTAACGTCCGTTGACCTCAGTTAACCCAATCTTATTTCAGTTAACGTCAGTTAACCTTTGTGAACCTCAGTTAACCTCAGTTACACTCAGTTCCCCTCAGTTGCACTCAGTTCCGCTCAGCTGCACACGAGCCCGCACTCAGTTTGCGCCCTGTTCACGTACGACTTGGTTCTCCTCCTGATGCAAGAAGCTGAGGGGGCATTGAGGGGAAACTGAGTGTAACAGCGGGCGCCTCGTTATCAACACCTTCCTTCGCCTTCTCATTTCCCCCCGGCTTCCGCCATCCAACCTCAGTTCCCTAGTTAGTTTCAGGTCCCCTTCGTTGCAAACAGTTTCCCTCAGTTGCATGCACTCGATTTCCCTGTGCACTCAGTTTGCGCCCTGTTAACCTACAATGTCATTATCATCCGAATGCAAGAGTTTGAGGGGAAACTGAGGGAAACTGAGTGTGACAGCGGGCGCCCCGTTATCAACTGTTCCTTCGCTATCGAAATGCCGAAACTTGTTCCCCAATCCTTCTCGCTGCTCCGGCTCCCTCATGGTTATTCTTCAGCCCCCCTCCCTTTATCCTTCTCTTTTGCCTGCTGTTGTTGCTCCTCCTTCCCTCGTGCTATCCTTACCTCCACTTGCCTCCTCCCACCTAGTCTCACATTGCCCCACCTCACCCCACCTCCATCCAAGCTTCTCCTATTCCCTACCTCATATCTCCTACGTCCCCCCACCTCCGCACACCTCCTCCTACCTTCTCCTATCCCTTCATCCTCCTACCTCCTCATGACTCTCCCTGCCTCTTCCCACTTCGTCCCATACCTATACGACCACCCTTCGGGTGATAAGGAGGTTCGGTGGGGGGAAACCAACGTCTCACTCGATCGGTCTCACTATCGATCTCAGTATCGATCTCGCTATCGGTCTCGCTCGATCGATATCACTCGATCGATCTCACAATCGATCTCACTCGATCTATCTCATTCGATCGATCTCACAATTGATCTCACAATCGATCTCACAATCGATCACACAATCGATCTCACATTCGGTGTCAATATCGATCTCACTATCGACATCACAATCGCTCTCACAATCAAAGTCATCATCATCATCATCATCATCATCATCATCATCATCATTAACATCATCAACATCAACATTATCACCGACATCGTCATCATCATGAGGGCACCGTCATCATGATCATCATCATCATCATAAACAGCATCATCAACGTCAGCATCATCATCGGGACAACATTATCATCATCACCATCATCTCATCATCATCGTCATCATCATCATCATCATCGGGACACAGTCATCGTCATCATCATCAGCAACATCTTCAGAATCATCATCATAATCGGGACACCATCATGATCACCATCGTTCTCATCACCAACAGTATCATCAACATCGTCATCATCCTCGGGACACCATCATCATCATGATCATCGCACCATCATCATCGACATCATCACCATCAACAACATCATCATCATTGGGGCACCATCATCATCATGAGCAACATCATCATCAACATCGTCATTATCATTATTATCATCGCCGGGACACCATCAGCATCACCATCATCATCATCACCATCATCATCATCGGGACACCATAAACATCATCAACATCATCATCATCATCAACATCATTATCGCCGGGACACCATTTCCATCAACATCATCATCACCAACATCATCGGAATCATCATCATCATCATCCGGACACCATCATCGTCGTCATCATCAACATAATCATCATGAGCATTATCATCCTCATCATCGGGGCACTATCATTATCATCGACACTATCATCAACATCATCATCATCATCATCATCATCATCTTCATCGGGACACCATCATCATCACCATCATCTCATCATCATCATCATCATCATCATCATCATCATCATCATCATCATCATCATCATCATCATCATCATCTCATCATCATCCTCGCGGGACACCGCGGGACACCGGCGGGACACCGCGGGACACCGCGGGACACCGCGGGACACCGCGGGACACCGCGAGACACCGGCGGGATACCGCGGGCCCCCGGCCGCCCGGAAGGGAGTCATTTGGTCCGGCCGCGTCTCAGCCACACGGGACACCAGCGGGACACCGGCGGGACACCGCGGGCCCCCGGCCGCCCGGAAGGGAGTCATTTGGTCCGGCGGCGCCTCAGCCACAGGAGACTTTCTCTCCCCCGCCCACGCAGCTTCGCCTCGCCCGCACGGCACGCACGAACACGAAACCGAAATCGATTTCCCGGTAGGGGGGCTCTCCGTTCCACTTCGATCTCACCCCCTCACCTCCGATCCTCCTATATCATTTTATATCACCCTACTTCCTGCTATCTCATCCTGCCTCTTCTTAATTATCATCGTCGTCATCATCGTTCTCGCCATCGCCATCGTCGCCGTCATCATCTTCATTTCCACCACCACCAGCATCATGATCATCGTCAGCGTCATCAGTTGCCGTGGTCATCGTCGTGGTCGTCGTCGTCGTCATCGTCGTCGTCCCCCGTCCCCTCATATTCATTCCTCCTCCTCCTCCTCGTTCTAATCCTAGCCCCCCGACCACCAGCGCATACCTTTTGGAAGGTTCCTCGCCCTTGGCGGGTTGGCAGGACGACGATCACAACGACGACGGCGATGATGAGAATAACGATGATGACGACGATGGTGATGACGAGGATGAGGATGATGATTATGATGATGATGATGATGATAATGATGATGATGATGATGATGATGATGATGATGATGATGCAGATGATGATGATGATGATGATGATGATGATGATGATGCAGGTTATGATGCAGATGATGATGCGGATGATGATGCAGATGATGATGATGATGATGATGATGATGATGATGATGATGATGATGATGATGATGATGATGATGATGATGATGATGGTGATGGTGATGGTGATGGTGATGGTGATGGTGATGGTGATGGTGGTGATGGTGATGCTGGTGATGGTGATGGAGACGACCGACGACGATGACGATGGAGTAGGATGACGTAAGAGGACGTATGATGATGTGTAATGAGGTACGAACTTGCAAGATAAAGTAGGAGGAGGCAGGAGGAGGTAGGAATAGGTAGGAGGAAGAGGAAATAGGATAATATAGGTGGACGTAGGAGGGCGTATGAGGAGGTATGAAGTAATAGGTAGCAGGACGGGTGGGAGGAGGTGGGAGGAGTATGGAGAAGCTAAGAGAGAGCGCGCCATGCACTTCAGAGGTGCGTCGACAGTAGTATACAGACAGAAAGAACAAACAAAGACTCAGACTGCACCCTGAGCACAAAAGTTGCGAGCTGCACGTCGACACGTCTGGGCGCTCCCTTGCCATAACTGAAGCAATCTGTCATCGTGGCCAGCCGCTTGGCACGCCATGGCAAATGCATTCCGCTTCCACAAGGAATTAGGAGAGGGGGTAGGAGACACAAGGAACTAGGAGAAGATAGGAGGAGATAGGAGAAGGTAGGGGAGGTGGGAGCGATGGGAGGAGGTAGAAAGAGCCTCGTCTTCCTCCTCCTATTCCTCGTCCCCCTCATCTTCCTCCTCCTCATTCTCGTCATCCTCATTGTCCTCATTCTCTTCCTCCTAACCCTCGTCCGACCGTGGCGGCGAGGGTGGCCGCCGAAAGCCCTCGAGGCTCGAGGTTCGAACCTCGACGTACGACCGCCGGAAGACCCGAGTTACAAAACCGAAATCCGACGGACCTCCCGTCGAGTTGACCTCGTACATCGAGGACCGCCTCGAATCTCGAGCTTGCGTTCTCGCCCTCGGAGGCCCTCCTCGTCGCATCGGCTGGACGCTGAACAGGAATCCAAGATGCGGCAGCCGGAGGCCCGAGGAATGACCCAGAACCAACCGATTGGGGTCACGACGACGAAGACGATGACGATGACAGGGGGGAGATTCTCTACAACAAGGTCGTTTCGTACAGAATTTCCCTTGCGGGATTTCCCACGGGGTGAGAGCGATGGCGACGACGTCGACGACGATGGCGCTGACGACGACGATGAAGACGACGGTCGCGCTGACGACGCTGACGATGACGAAATCGACGACCACGACGATGGCGACGTCGCTGGCGATGACGATGGCGACAACAATTACGATGACAACGAGGATAATGACGACGAGGACGTCGATGACGAGTGTGACGCGACGAGGCAAGATAATATTATCAGGGGTTGAACGAGGTGGAGGAGGATGAGGGGGAGGAGGGGGAATACAACGATTACGACACATGTGACAGTCTGGCAGGGCGACGATGACAACGACGTTTGTCATGATGACGACGCTTCCGACGCTTATGATGCCGATGATGTTGTTGATGATGATGACGCTGAGGATGTTGCTGATGATGATGATTATGATGATGATGATGATGATGATGATGATGATGATGATGATGATGATGATGATGATGATGATGATGATGATGATGATGATGATGATGATGATGATGCAGACGATGGTGACGACGGTGGCGGTGCCGACGACGACGACGACGGAGGCGACGATAATCATGATGGAGATTATGATGTTAAAGACGACGGCGGTGACGAGTGCGGGGGGAAAGGCTGTACAAAAAACTCGTTTTGTACAGAATTTTCCCCTGATGTGGGTTTTCGATGGGTTCGGAGATCGCGGCGCGAAGGCCCAGGCATCGGCCAGGATCGATCTCCGAGGGCGAAGGTTCCTCGAGAAGCGAGAATGGAGGCGTTGGTCAAGATCTACTCAGGCTCGAGGTTTTGAGTGGGATCGATGATTCGGTTCCGACGATCAGTTTTTTGGCGATGTTCGCAGGACGAAGACCAGAGTGTTGACGAGGATCGACGCTCGAGGTATCGCTCTTGCGGCAAGCGCGAGGCCAGGGGAAAGTCTGTGCAAGCTTGGGCGGAACGCCTGCAGTCCACTTCGGATTTACTGCGACATGGCGTAACTGGCGTCACCAAGGGAAGCTCAGTTCAACTGAGGTAACAGGGAAACTAGGTGTAACTGGGGTCAACTAGGTGTAATTGGGGTTGGCTAGGCGTAACTGGAGTCAACTAGGTGTAACTCGGCGTAACTAGGTGTAGCCGGAATCGCTCTTATGGCGTTCGCTGCGACGCTCGTTGCCAGCGCACTGTAGAAACCTACTTCAGAATTCATCGCCTCAATCCCGAGAAACATGATGATGCTGGTCGCTGAGACTTGGCAGCTTGATGCCTATCCTCCTTCTCCGCTTCCTCGTCCCCCGCTTCCTCCCCTCCTGCCTCCTCTTGTGCCCTCCTCCCGTGCCAGGGAAGAAATTGGAATGAGAAGGCTGGAATAATCCAAAATACGCTACAGGATTCTTTTGATTCCCCAGATTCCCTCCTGCCCCACAAGAGCTGCAGCAGCGAGGTGCCCTAGGTACCGCGGAGCATCCAGGAGCGCATCATCCTGAGCAAATCGCATCATGAGACCATCATCGCCCAGAGCACGGCGAGTGCTGGCCCGACTCAGCTCCCCGATTTCGCCGCCACCAGCGGCAGCGGCCTTTGGTTTCGACGCTCGCTGCGCTTGTCCTCCTTGCCGAGCCACCGGCAACGGCCAGACTACAGTATAGAGTCGATATGCTCCCTCCTCCTGCTCCCCCCTCAGCGGCACCGTAGTGGGTACCCAGCAACGGGTACTTTGGAAATTTGCCGAAAGCTGTTTTTTGGGGGCATCTTTATGGAAATGCAGCGTTGCCCACATCGGGAAGGGTTGGGTTCGTCGGGTCACTAGCCAAACTGGCTGTCAGGCTGTCAGTGGAGTCCCCGTTAGAGGGGCGCTGGGTTCCCTCATCTACCTCCTCGTCCAGTCATGCTCCTTGCCCTGCCTCTGGTCCTGATCGTCCTCCTCCTCCTCGTCCTGCTCCTCCTCCTCCTCTGATCATGATCATGCTCTTCCTATGATGATGCCCCTCCTTCCCTGCCTGCCTCCTCTGCCTGCTTATGTGGTCATGCTCCTCACCCTTCCTCTCCGGCGACTTGCTTAAGAGTGGCCCTGAGCGACACCTGACTGGCATGTTCATTTAGCACGCGCGGCCAGGCTGAGTAGCTTGGCCGCGAGGCGCAGCGTCTGACCGCGGAAGGCCCGCGCGTCCCGACGAGGAGGGTGATTTTTTTGTCGTCGTGGAGCTCCCTTTCCTCCTCTTCCTCTTCCTCCTCTTTTTCCTCTTCCTCCTCCTGGAGTCGCGCATACCTCTGATAATGTCCCTCCTTCCCTGCCTGGTTGTTTCCCCCCTCCTTCTCTTCCTCGCCTCTACTACAAGAGGTGATGTCCGAGCCGCTGTTCGACAGCCTGCGCACCAAGCAGCAGTTGGGATACAGCGTCTCGTGCATGCAGAGAGACTCCGACGGCGTCTTGGGTTTCACGGTCACCATCCTCAGTGCCGTCAAGCGGCCGCCAGTGCTTCTGGATCGCGTGGAGGATTTCCTGGACGAGTTCAGCAAGAAGCTCCAGGATATCCCGGCCGAGAAGTTCGCCGCGCACATCGTCGCGCTCGGCAGCCGGTGGATGGAGCCGAAGCGGACGCTGTCGGAGGTGCAGAGCGCGTGCTGGTCGGAGGTGACCTGCGGGTCCCCGGTGTTCGACCGCACCGAGAGGGACACCGCCGTGCTGGGCACGGTCACCCGCGAGGACGTCGCCGATTTCTTCGCCCAGCACATCTTCCGGGTGCTGCCAGAGTGGGGGCGGCCCCGGCCCGATGGGGCCGAGGACGGCACGGCCCACCCCCCGGGTCCCGGCCAGGGCCCCCCCTTTCCCGACCTCTGGCGAGCCAGGGCGTCGTGGCCCGCGGTCGAGGTGTTTTTTTTGTTTTCGTGCCGCAGAGACGACGACGAAGAGCACCCTGGTGTCCCGGCCAGGACCCCCTGGATCACCAGGTCGGGGCTGGGTGCAGCGCCTCCCAAGAAGCAGCCTCCTCCTGAGAAGCCTTCCCCCCTCCTCCGTGGCCTCCTCCGCCTCCTCCTCCTTCTCCTCCTCCTCCTCCTCCTCCTGGAGGAGAGGCCAGCCTTCTGAGAAGCTATACCCCCCCCCCCCCGGGGTGCGCCGTCGAGCCGCTGCGATCTGGCGGCCCTTCCCGGCCCAGCCGCGGCCGACCGCCTGGAGCCCCGCCGCCCCCAGGGGCACACCAAGCCCGGGTCGGCACGAGCCCCCGCCCGGACGCACAGGTCCGCCCTATTTCTTGGCTCTTCTCCAACTCAAGATTGCGTGGGAAATCCACTTCTTATCAGAAGCCGAAACAGTAGGGCGGAGATTTCTGCACCCAGCGTAAGAGCAGGGCGGAATTCCCCCAAAGTAGGGCGGATGCGGAGCCAGGGCGGGGGTCGGCCCCGGGCCCCGCCGCGGAGCCCGGCATGCAGCCTCGCACGGTCCAGCCGCATAGGAAGGATCCCGGAGGCCCAAAGCATTGAACAGACCACGACGGAGGTTTTTCGCAGTTTTCGGCCTCCAGGGGCCCTTGCCGGGCGTCGGGACCATCAAGAAACGATTCAGGATGAAAAGCCGGTCCTGGGGAATGGGTCGAGACTTCCTGGGGCCCCGTATTGAAAAAATCACGACGTCGGATCTCTGGGATGGGCAACCTTCCCAAAGGTACAGCCGGCACTGATTAGCAGGTCGACCCTGCCAAATCAAGGGTATCCGTAGGTACCCTTGTGTCCTGTGCTTCGCGACCCGTGCCTCCCACATCCCCCATGGCAATGTGGCCCTCGGAAGGGTCTTGTGTCCTCTCGCGTGCCCTGTCCAATCAAGGCCGACTGTACCCTTGCATCCTTGCCTCCTCGGTCCATCCTTCGCCGCTTTCGCTGGCCGCGCCCTCTCGAAAAGCTTCGAAATGGGACTCAAAGGCCCTTGCATCCTCATCGCGCATCCTTGCTATACTGGTTGACTGTGGTTCCCAAACCCAGGTCAGCGGAAGGGCGAAGAGCCCTGAGATCCTGGCGTCTCGATTCTTTCGAGCCAGCCGTTCTCGCTCCGATTCGGGCCCTCGGGCCGTCACAGGTCGATCCCCGACGGCGTGATGTTCTCATGACGCGACCTCCCGAGGTCCGGACCCATTCCCAGGGATGGGTTTTCCATCTTGCGTCGATGTTTGACGACGTTCCCACGGCCCGGCGAGGGCGCCTGGAGTCCGAAAATCATATACTTTGTTTTTACCATATATATACATGTGTACATATAGATATATATGTATATATACATGTATAGATATATAGTTGTGTGTTTAATTTTTATATATATATATATACACATGTAGATAAGGAAACAACAACTCCCGTCACGAGTGTTTCGCGACGCGAGAGGGTCTGGACCCCCATGTGCGCGCCGCCACACTGAGCTCGAGCCCCGCGCGAGACGCCGGAGGCCAGGAGGCTCCGGCAGCACCCGGCACGTCGCGGCCGGCGCGGGCGGCGGCGCGGGGCGCCTCGTGGCGGCGGTGTCGCCCGCGGGGGCCGAGGGCGCGCCGCCCGCGGGCGAGGCGGCCGCGCTGCGCGCCGCCGCGGCCCGGCGCGGGGAGGCCGAGCTCGTGCGCCGCGAGGAGGAGCTGCCCCTCCCGCTGCGGGAGGAAGATTCAGAAATAGTACTAAAAGATAGTCCGGGGACGATTGGTTTATAGTATTTTTCACTATTTCTGAATATGTTGGGCCTCTGCCTCTACAGGAGGAGTATTTACAAATAGTAATAAAAAATAGGATGGGGACGATTGTTTTCGTTTTTTTCGTAAGTCGGGCGTGTCCCCGTACAGGGGGGATTTTCGACGAAAAATGAAGACTACCCCAAAAATAATCCAAACATATTCCAAAAATAGTCTAGGGACTATTTTCTTATCATTTTTTAAAACCATTTTGGGGCATTGTTGGTGTATTGCTTATTTTTCCTCGAAAATCCCCCTGTAGGGGGGACAGGCCCGACCTAATATTGTTCACTACTTTTGAATATATTAGGCCTATTTTTTATTTTCCGTCCGCAATCCGCCTGTAGGGGGACATGCCCGACCTAACCCCACGGTATGCCCTAGGGCAGTGGTCCAGACCTCCAGAGCTGCACGCCGGGGCGCTCGGTTGGTTCGTCGGGGTCGTCGTCGTCGCCGTCCTCGTCGTCGTCGTCGTCGTCGTCGTCGTCCTCGTCGTTCTCGTCGTCCTCGTCGGCGCCGCGAGGAGGAGCTGCACGCCAGTCGGTATCGTTTAACCGATCCCCATCCCTATCCCCATCTCCTTCGAGACCCCCACCAAGTTACCGCCCCAGTTGGGGATACACCTCCGAAACCCGAAGGGAACGACCAGTATCCCCATCTAGGGGGTTCAACCGACCAGTGGGGCCCAGGCCACGCCGCTGGGGATGGGGATCGGTTAAACGATACTCAGCCTGGACGCTCGGTTGGTTCGTGGTCGTCGTCGTCCTCGTCGTCGTCGTCGTCGTCGTCGTCGTCGTCGTCGTCTTCGTCCTTGTCGTCCTCGTCGTCCTCGACGTCCTCGTCGTCCTCGTCCTCGTCCTCGTCGTCGGCGGCCTGCACGCGCTCGCGCCGGCAGGACGAGCTGCACGCAGGGCCGCTGGGAGGAGGATAGCCCAGAGAGCTTTCGGCCTCCGGGAGCCCTCGCCGGGCCTCGGGACCGTCAGAAAACGACGCGGAACGAAGAACTGGCCCTAGGGTTAAGTCGGGCCTGTCCCTCTACAGGGGCAATACTATTTTTTTATGGAGATGACTTTTTACTATTGTTGAACACTCTCTGCGTATTTTCGGGGTACTATTCATTGTTCGTCCAAAATCCACCTGTAGGGGGACATGGCCGACCTGACCCTAAAGTAGGCCCTAGGGCAGTGGTCCAGACCTCGGGAGCTGCACGCCAGGGCGCTCGGTTGGTTCGTGGTCGACGTCGTCGTCGTCAACGTCGTCGTCGTTGTCGTCGTCGTCCAAGTGGGGAGGGCCGAGCTCGTGCGCCGGGAGGAGGGCCTGCACGTCGGCGCGCTGGGAGGAGGAGAAGACAGCCAGCCCGCACAGTCAGGACGAGCAGCTCTCCAAGGTTGCCCTTGCGTCCTTCCCCTTCGGCCCATCCTTGGCCGCTTTCGCTGGCCGCGCCCCGCTCGCAAAGTGTCGGCATTGCCTTCCGAGGCCCTCGCATCCCACGCTGGAGCGTTCGGTTGGTACAACGTCTTCGCCGTCGTCGTCGTCGTCCTCGTCCTCGTCCTCGTCGTCGTCGTCGTCGTCGTCGTCGTCGTCGTCCTCCGGGAGGAGCTGCACGTCGGGGCGGTCGGAGAAGGTACCTCCCCAGACCTCCCACGAGTTGAAGAATTCGATGCGGGAGCGTGTCGTCGATTTCCGCCTCTGGGGGCCCTCGCTGGGCCCCAGGACCGCCAGAAAACGACTCGGGATGAGAAACTGGAAGGTACCTCCCCAGACCTCCAACGCGTCGGAAAAGTCGATGCGGAGGTGTTTCGCCGGTTTCCGCCTCTGGGGGCCCCCGCCGGGCCCCAGGGCCGCCAGAGAACGATCCGGGATGAGAAACCCGTCCTGGGGCACGGGTGGAGTCGAGTGGGGACGTTGAGCCATACCGCTACACGTGCCGAGCGAACAACACACACACACACACACACACACTCACCCATGCAGTCGGGGCCCTGAAGAAGGAACCCTTTTCGTTGGGGAGGGGGCTCCGTGTTCCTTAATTGTTTCGCAGCTTGCCTCGGGTTTTTCCTCAGGCTTTCGATACGAAATCGAAGTTCAGCTTATGGAAAATAGGGGCCTCGTTCCTTATTGAGGGTCCCTTAGGTCAACGCCCCGACTGTACCCACTGGAGGGACGGAGTGGGCTACGGGTGCGTGCTGCCGGGTGGAGGTCCCCGCTCGAACGGGAGCTTCCCTGGGGGTCCGACAGCCCGAACCCACACCCGTGGCCAGTCCTCCTCCCTCCGACCCCCCTATGGGCATGGGTGTGTGTGTGTTGTTCGTTCGTCGACACGCCAGTCGTTGAACTTCAAGAATCGATATGCTGGTGTTGTGTTCGGTTATTCTCTTGGCGGGCCTGAACCCAATCTACTTGATCGGCCTTCCTGCTTCACATCTGCGCCTGCTTCTTCCGACCGACGTGCACCTCCGGGTAGGGGCGGAGCGAGGTACGAGGTCGAGGTCGGTTCGGGGAGCGTATACCTTCGGATGTTCCTCAGTTTTGGTCGGCGGGGGCTCTCCTGTTGTGGAGGGATGGTCTTCTGTCCTCGGTCCCGCCGCACCCATGCCGCTGCCCTCCCCCCGTTGTCGCCACTTTGGGCCTCCTCGGAGGCCATCGTCGCGCTGACGCTGGAGTCGCCTCGGAATTCTGGTCAGAACGCAACCCGGGAGAAGGTCCGGGGAGTACGGCGGTATCGGTGCATTGTGGGCGACGCAAAAATACGAGGTCGTCTACGCCGACGTTGGCGCGTAAGCTGCCCGCGTAAGGTCGCGCGTAAGCGCCCTCGCTTCCAGTGTAGCTTGCCGCGCGGCGTAAGGCCTCTATTCGGTGGTTGAAAGATGGGGTCCTGAGGGACGGGGTCCTAAGGACGGAGTGTCTCAGGTAACGTAAGTCCACCCTCGGGCCCCTTCCTATTCTTAGGACCCCATCCTTCAGGACCCCATCTTTGACCCGCCGATCTATGCCACCTCGCGTAAGACCCAGGCCTAGAGCTTGACACCAACATCAATATCGGCGATGTGCCTCCACCGAGGGAAGAAGATCCCGATCTCGGCGATGGTGGTAATACTCTGGCCTCCAGGGTGGCCGAAATATTACCATCAACACCGAAATCGAGGATCATCTTCCCCCTGTGGAGGCAACCCCCTGTGTTGGGGTTGGTGCTCATTTCCAGGCCTCAAAGTAAGACCCCGTTGCTGGTCGTCGCCATCATTCCCAGGCCTCTGAGTAAGACTCGCTGCTGGTCAAGTATAATACGTGAATCCACCCTCGGTCCCCTTCCTGTCCTTAGGACTCCCTCCTTCAGGACCCCATCTTTGACCCGCCGATCTATGCCACCTCGCGTAAGACCCGTTGCTGGTCGTCGCGTCGCCCTCGTGGGCTTCCCCCCCCCCTTTGAGGAGCTGCACGCCGGGGCCCGGCTGCACCCGCCGCGCGGCAGAGAGCCCGCGGCCTGACCGCCGCGGCCCGCCAGCGTGCCGCGCGGAAAGGGCGGAGAGGGTGCCGCAGGGCATCCGGTGGGAGAGGGGCCCCTCCTCTCCCCTCCCCTCCACAGCTGATTGCACGATAAGAGAACTCCTCTCCTCTCTCCCCTCCCCTCCCCTCCCCTCCCCTCCACAGTTGATTGCACGATAAGAGAACTCCTCTCCTCTCTCCCCTCCCCTCCCCTCCCCTCCACAATTGATTACACTTAATGCGAACACTACTCTCTCCTCTCTCCCCTCCCAGGGCGGAGAGGGCGCTGCAGGGCCTCCGGAGGGAGAGGGGCCCCTCCCCTCCCCTCCCCTCCACAGTCGACCGAGCATTTTCTTTGGGTGGAGGGCAAAGGGTGAAATCTGAAATGCCGTTTCGATTGACTTTGGAGGTTCGAACCTGCAAGAGGTAAATCACAAGAGGGATTGGTTTTCGAGGTGCAGAAGCCCATATGGATTTCACCCTGAGCCCTCCACCCTAAGAAAATGCTCAGGTTGATTGCACAACCTGAGTACTACTCTCTCATCTCTCCCCTGGTGACGTCCGGGCGATGTTCGGCCCCCCTCTGCGTAATTACTGTTGTTTAGTTTTCTCAAAGGATTCCCGGGAAACGGGTTTTCTCTTGGTTTTTGGTTCAACATGCTGCTCTCGCTGAAGCGCTGGCCTCGTGTTCGGACTACCGCTCGTTGAGAATCATGCTCCCGCTGCAGCGCTGGCCTCATTTCCGCGCTTCCGCTCGTTCTATTTCCAGCGCCATGCCACGGCATGGTTTTCGGTCCTTCCAAATGGGCCCCAAAATCTAGAACATGGCCCACCGAAGCAACCATCGGAAGTGATTCCACATTCGGTGCCGATTCGTTGTTGTTTTGGGGCCGCAGAAGCCCCCCCCCCACTTTGGGGCGTCGCCACGCCATGCTGCGTCAGGCTACGCGTTGATCTTCATTCTCATGCTATGCTATGTAATGCTACGCCCTGCTACGACATCTGTCTGTGCGGACAGAGAGGAGATCTACGCCATGGGAGGGAGGGGTAGGACGTCAGATATGACGCGAGCGCACCTAGCTTGCCTCCCCTCCCCTCCCTTCCCTCCCTACCTCCCTCAGGTTCTGGGCCTCTCGGGAGATGTCGGAGGATCGCCGATGCATCGGCGATGCGGCTCGACGTGGAGCCCGATGTTCTCCACGCCGACGGCGCCGATGCGTCGCCGATATAGCGTCGATGCATCGACGATGAGTCGACGATGCGGCGAGATCCTCCGACCTCATCTACTCCGACCCCATCATCGGGCAGGATGCTACAACCTGCATCGGCATAAGCTGTTCCGGAGCTCCGCGCGGACCCCGAGCAGTTATGTTTGTGCAGTCGTTTTGTTCCTCTAGGCAGTGGTCAAGGGAGGAAAAGCCACCCGGACCCGATAATTGGCGTTTACTAAACGGCCCTGGGCGTTTTTTTTTGTTTTTTGTCATTTAAAAAAACAAAAAAAAAAACCCTGCCCTGTTCGATTCCTCATTCGGGTGAGTTTGCTAAACGGCCTCGCTTGTCGTGGTGGTTATGGAGGTGGATGTTTTGCCCTCTATGCTTGTTCCTCTAGGTCAAGGGACCGCGGCCTGACCGCCGCAGCGCGCCAACGTGCGGCGGAAAGGGGGGGGTCCCTCAAGAGCCGCAGGCGGGCCTTGAGATACGGGCGTTGCAGTTGTGTCGCATCGGGCGTCCTGGGCGGAGGAGGAGGAGGAGGAGGAGGCGAGGAGGTGGAGAAGGAGGAGGAGGAGGAGGAGGAGGAGGAGGAGGAGGAGCGCCGCCGCCGCGGCGCGCTCGGCGGGCCGGGACATCGCTGGGGCTCGCGACGCACTCAGGGGCAACGATGTGGGGGGATAGGCATTGGGGGCGGACATCGACCTGGAATCGGCGATACATCGCAAATGCATCGGCGACGCCTATCCCCCCCCGATCGCTGCCCCTGGGGCGAAGAGGCTCGGCGCTTCGACGAGGCCCGAAAGCTTGGAGTCTCGGAGACTCGGGGAAGCTTGGGCCTGGGCAGCTGCAGGGGCAGAGGGGGAGGAGGAGGAGGAGGAGGAGGAGGAGGAGGAGGAGGAGGAGGAGGAGGAGGAGGAGGAGGAGGAGGAGGAGGAGGAGGAAGGGTCACGAACCGTGCGAGGGGTGCGCTAGAAAGAAATTCGCTTAACTAACTCCACTGCACTGCCTGCTCGAAAAACGCACGCACAATCAAAATCCAATCGGTCCCTATGGCCCTGCCACACGGTCCTGACTCGGGAACGGCTACAGACATGAGAATCCCATGGCCCTGCCGCGCGTTCGTAACGTGGGCAAACTGAATTGGTGAGAATCCCACGTCCCTGCCACACGCTCGTGATTGCGGAAGCTGGTGCGGTGAGACCACCATGGCCATGCTCAGCGTTTTTGATGCTTTTGTTAGTCAACCTGATAGGATAGCAACTTCGATCCCCGCAACTTCCCCGTGGATTATAAAGTTCGGCCTCCGCGCCCTCCTCAATTAAATCCGATTGGCCGGAAATAATGACATTCGGGGGAGAAAGGGGGGGTCTTATCGCCCGCGCGCGGTTAACATGCCGATATTGTCCCTCCAACTCCCCATTCCTCGTCCCCTTTGCGCCCTTGCGTCCCAGCGCTGCCGCTTCAGCGCTGGCATGTGGGGTCCATGATGGGGCGCGAAGTGCGCGAGAGGTGTACCGAACGTAGGCTCCATTGAAGGCCCCACCACGTTACCACCCCCTTATAAAGTGCCCCGAGCTACTCTTGCCCAGCATTGCGCAGGGGTTGGGCACGTCGCCAGGGTAATTATGCGATCGATCGCCCCTTTTTCCAGCGGCTCGAATTCCATGCATTTTAGGTGTCAGTTTATGGATTGCTCTCTTTTACGGCTCGAATCTTTCACGTTGTACGCATGTGCCTACGGATTGCTCCTTTCTTGTGGTTCGAATCCTGTACGTGTTTACGTATATGCTTATAGCTTGCCTCTCGATGGTGGTTCGAATCATATGTTTACACGTATGTGCCCATGGATTGCCTTTTCTCCAGTGGCTCGAACTTTATATGTTATATTTTGCCCCCCTCTTGTGGTTCGAATCCTAAATGATTTACGTATGTGCCTGTAGACTGCCCTTCTCCTGTGGTTCGAATATGTAGTTTTTCACGTATGTTTTTATATGTTGCCCCTCTGTTGCGGTTCGAATCCGATATAGATTACGTCTGTGCCTATATATGGCCCCTGTCCTGACATGTTCTAGCTGACCATTCCAGCAGTCCCAGGTCCAGAAAGTGTGGCATGGCCATCGGCTTCTCAGCATTCCAACTGCCAGGAGTGGGGTCGGTCGGTCCTTCATGCTGTGACAAGCGCGTACATGCCATCATGTCGACATCACGAGCGTCACCCTCGTAAGCAAGTTCACCTCCGCAACCGTGCCGACAAACATGGCGAGGTCGTTCTCGCAACCCGCCGCTTCAGGCGTTCACCCGCCTCCACACCTTAGCTGCTACCATCGGGCCGGACGAAAGGGGGGGATTGGGAAGGGGGGGTTACGAAATTTGCTGCATGCAGCTGGTTTCGGCCCCACCGAGGGACCCATTCCTCGATACATAGTCGCCTCCGGCGCCGGGAGGCGCCGGGAAAATCAGCTACGTGAGCTGATTCTCACCCCCCCCCTTTGCCATCCCCCCCTTTCGCTCGACCCGATACCAAGGTGCTGCGCTGGGGCACTTGTTTTTTTTTGTTCGTGGCTCCCTCCCTTCTCCTCCTCCTCCTCCTCGTCCTCCTCCTCCTCCTCCTCCTCCTCCTCCTCCTCCTCCTCCTCCTCCACCTCCCCCTCCCCCTCCTCCTCCTCCTCCTCCTCCCGCGCCGCCCCCGTAGCGGCCAGGGCGCGCCCCGCGTGCCGTGGGGGGGGGGCGGGCGCGGGCCGCACCCCCCCCCCCCGCAGCGTCGGCCCCCCAGCGGGCCGCCTGCGGGCCTGGGCTGGGGGGGGGGGGGGGAGATCTGCACGCACGAAATGGGTACTGGAAGAATGGGTACAATGCCCAACAGCGGATCTTGTTCATTTTGAACAGGGCTCGCTGTCCACGCCGCCGCGGCCTGTGTCCATTCGAGACAGGAGAGGCCGCCTGCCCAAGAGCGGCCGCTGTTGGTTTGGGACAACAGTTGCTGTTGGGCATTGTACCCATTCTTTCGGTACCCATTTCGGGTGTCCAAAGAGAGGCAGGCGCGCCGATGTCGGGAGGCCCTACGAAAACGACGCGAAAAAATCGGGACAAAGTCGGATCGGGATAGCTCGAAATCTCTGAGCATCGGCGGGTTTGGAGGACGTGTTGGGCCGCCTGCGGGCCGGGCTGGGGGGGGGGAAGGGGCAGGCGCGCCGATGTTGGGAGGCCGCACGGCTGGTCAGAGCCCCAAATCATCAGGGGCAACTCGGGTCAAGGCTAACTCGGGTTCGCTTTTCGGGAATCCGAACCCGAGTCACCCCGGGTCCGAGTTACCCCCGATAACTCGGGCGTCCAGAGCCCCAAACCATCAGGGGTAATTCGGGTCAGGGCTAACTCGGGTTCGTTTTCCGGGAATCCGAACCCGAGTTGCCCCAGGCCCGAGTTACCCCGGATAACTCGGGCGCCCAAGCTGGTGGCGCCAGCCCTGAAAAGGGAGGAACGACGACGACGACGACGACGACGACGACGACGGCGGCGGCGGCGGCGGCGGCGGCAGCGGCGATGACGACGGCGACGACGAAAAACAGTCAAAGCTTCAGTTTATCGTTGATTCGCACTTCAGGTGGTTTCTTGGACATGCTCTTGGGGCTCTCTTGGGCCTGTTGGGCGCCTCTCAGGCGCCTCTCGGGCGCCCCTTGTAATGTTTCAGTGCCCTCTTGGAGCAACCCGCAGTATTTGCAAATCGTGGGATACAGTGAACAGGGACGAACCAGTCGATGATTTGTTTGAAGGTGCCCAGCGTTGTTTTTTCGTAGGTTCTTTGGGGGGATTCCGCCGTCGGGATGCATTCCAACCACTGCGCCTCGCCGACAGATTTCTGGGGGTGCCCGGATCGCCCCGAGCGGCCGTGGAGCCGAGTGATGGCACGAAGTTTTGCGGGCTGGCCGTTTACCGACATTAGCCGACGAGCCCAGGGGGGAAATGAGAAGAAGAAGGCCTTCTCAGAAGGCCGCGGGATTTCTTAGAAGTCCGGGGGGCTTCTGAGAGGTCTCCTTAGCCTACTTCGAATACAGACTGAACTTCTCAGAAGCCCTCTCAGAAGTCCGGAAACTTCCCGCCCCTTCCCATTTCCCCCCCGCGCCCGCCGCCGAGACATGCCGTTTGTTTCCATGTTATTGAACGCAGGGTTTGGTAGCTATGTTCCTTCATCGATACGGTCGAAATGGGTACGGAAAGGATATGGACGAAGACCAGCAGCAGGTCCTGCCCATTCTGGACAGGACTTGCTGTCGGTGTCGTTGCGGACGTCGTCCGCTGAAGACCGAACGTCGCTGGCCCAACAGCGGCCGCCGTCGGTTTGGGACAACGTTCGCGGTTGGTCGTCGGATCATCTTTTTTTGAGCCATTTTCGGACGCGCCGATCTTCTGGGTTGCGAGATAGTTACAGGGCCAGGTAGCCATGTTCATTGAACAGCCTGCCTGTAAGTTTTCCATATCTAGTTTTCAACGTCCAGTGATCCAGAGCGATAGAAGGACGTACACGTACATGAATCCACGCTGGGTTCTAAATATGCATTGTGCGATCGTTTGTATCACAATGCTGGTCTCGCGGTCTGGGAGGTTGTATTCATGTACGTGGTTGGGCGCGTACGTCTTGTGTGGGCTCCCTGGGTGAGGGAACCCAGGCTCCCGATATCGGTGACCCTTCGTGGCCGCCAATCTTGCCCCCCCCCCCCGCCCCCGAATTCGATGGCACATTGTGGCCACCCATCGTGTGTTTGCGTAGAGCTGTTCAGGGTCTTTGCCGCGCTGGTGTCATACTTATATGGGCACTTAGCTCGTGTATGATGAGTGGGATCTATAGCTGGATGTGTACATAGGCATTGGTTTAGCCCGTCAGTTCGATCCATGCTGAAATATGTATGTGCATATATAAGCAAATATCGGAGACGCCTACGGCGAAACGCCGCCGCCCCCTGCTTCTTTGGAAACGCCTATGTGGCCGAATGTTGTGGCTTGTGCTCTGCCAAGCTATCGGACCATGTGTCCCCCCAGACGTCGTGGAAACTCTTCCAGGAACACATGAAGGAGAAAGAGCAGAGGCGGAGGAGGAGAATGAGGAGTACGCGTGGGAGCCTTTGGGGCACTCTTGGAACCTCCTTGGAGCTTCTTGGAGTCTTCATGGAAGCCTCTTGGGGGCCTCTTGGGATCCTTTGGGGGCTTCTTGGGGTCCTCTTTGGCCGTGTTAAGGCGTTCCTGGCCCATCGGACGCCGTCGGGGACCGTCTCGAATGCCCGAGGAGCATCACTTAGTTTGGCATCCTCGGGCTGTCTAGAGGACCTCTTGGAGGCCTCTGGAGCCATCTTGGAAGCCTCTTGGGGGCCCCTTGGGCCATCTGGAGGCCATCTTAGGCTGTCTTGAATGCATCTCGATCCGTAGTTGTGACATCTGGCCGCAATCTTGGTCTTTCGTGGGCCTCTTTGGGCCGTCTTGGAGACCATCTCAGCTGTCTGGGAGGCCATCTTCGGGTTATTTTGGAGAGGAACATCGATGGAGTGTGCATTTTCCCGAGGGTGATCTTGGGGCGATTTCGGAGGTGGCCGGCGGGCTTGGCCGAAGCCCCACGACTACGACGACGCCGACGACGATGACGATCGAGCCGTAGTGCGACGCTCATAATGGATCGAGCCCTAGGGAGACTCTTTATTCAAGCTGGACCGGGTTCTGATAGGAATCGGTGAGAGCTGGATCCAGCCCCAGGTATGTTTCTATCAAAGATGGATCGAGCCCTAGGGGGATTCGATTAGAGATGGTTTCGATGTTATTCAGGTGTTGAATTAATGCTGGAGCGAGCTCTAGTATAATTCCTTCAGACCTGAATCCACCCTTGATATGCGATTCTACTAGAGCTGGACCCAGCCGTAGTAGGAGTCCATTAGAGTAGGGTCAAGCCGCAGTAGGATGCTATTACAGCTGGATCAAGCCTGATTTGGGTTTTGTCAGAACTGAATCGAATCGTAGTAGGATTCCGTCAGAGCTGGGTCGAGCCTTCGTAGGATTCTGGGAGAGTTTGATTGGCCCCTAGAACGATGTGATTAAAGCTGGATGAAGCCCTCGCATTATTCCTTTTGAATTATTGGAGTTGTATTAGAAGTTGTTTTGAATTGGATCCAGTTTTGCACGATTTGGAATTCGAGCTAGACCAGGTCTCAGTTGGATTTTTATAGAGCTGGATAAACTCTCGGCGAGCTCTCTTGAAGGATTGGGCTCATGCACTTAAGATTTAATTAGAACTGGATCGACCATAGTAGGGGCACGTTAGAACTGGATCTGGCCCTTATAGGTTTGAAGTAAGGCTGGACTGAGGCGTTGTAAAACTCCATTAGAATTGGATCCAGTACGGCTGGATCCAACCCAAGTAGGATTCAAACGAAGCCAGACCGAGTCTTTGTAGGTATCTGTTTGAGTTCGATCGAACCCGAGTTTGATTTTACGATACTTGGATCCAGCCCCAGTAGCAGGATGCTCATGTAGAGTCGGGTCGAGCCCTACATGAAAACCTGGGTTCGAACTCTGGCAGCATTCTATCAGAGCCGCGCTTGGCGCGGGCGCTGACGCCGCTGCCGCCGCTGACGTTGTCGCCGTCGTCGGCGTCGTAGTAGGCATCGTCGTCGTCGTTGCCATGAGGGAAGGGTTTCGCCAGTCGAATCCGAGGCCCCGCCCTCGCCTTCGAAACTTGAGAAATATTTTACGCCATTGGGTTCTGGGTCGTTTTTTGATTCGGAGGCTGTGCACCCGGTGCTTCTGTTGACCGTTGTTCTTTTTTCTTTCGCAAGTCCCCAATTGGTGTTGCGAGTGGGCGTCGTAGCATGTCGACTAAGTCGGGCGTCGGATAGAAGGATTGCCGCTGCGCGCATTCCTCTTCCAGGGCCACGCGGCGGAGGGTCAACGAAGATTTCCCCTGAGTGAAAACAGGCCGGGAGAAAAAACAAACGAAAGTTCCAGCAAAGAACTGTATAAGTGTTTGACATTCGCTTTTCACATGTTATTCTTTAACACATATTCGCTTGCGGTCAATCACGTCCTCGTGATTATTTGGTTCTTTGTAACAGGATGTTTTTGTTAGTAAAATCGTGTTTCGGACAGTCAGTTTTCAATTAGACGCCGTAGGATGTGGGGACCTCATCGCCGCGGGAAGGCGCACGGCCACAATGTCAGTGGGCTCAACTGGAGAGGGGGAAAAACGGTGATCGGTGAGAGAACTGCGCGGGGATAAATGCAAGTTCTACGCGCGTTCGCAGCCATGAATGACTGCGCCTGTCTGCGCGGGGCCAACGCAGGCGTGTTCCACGCGAGGGCGCGGATCAAGACACACTCTTCCGAATGAGTTCCAACTTGTTTTTCAAAAGAGGGCAGGGCCTCGGACTTCATTGGTTGAGGCTTGGGCCCCCCGAAGCATTTTCCCAAGGGGGGGGGGGGGGGGCTTCCGAGGTGGGGGAAGGGGGAGGAGGAGGAGGAGGAGGAGGAGGAGGAGGAGGAGGAGGAGGAGGAGGAGGAGGGAGGGGGAGGAGGGACCCCCCCCCCGGTTCTCTGCAGCGGGCGGGCGGGAGTGGGGGTGGGGAGGTCCGGGGAGGGGCGCGCCGATGTCGGACCCCCCCATCCTGAGAGTGTGTCTCGGGCCGGGGACGGTGGATCGCGTTCCCTCGGCCGTCTTGCGTCGCCGTGGAGGCTGACATGTCGCATACACCTTAGGCGATGCTTAAGAAAACTTAAGTTTTCGGCCAGAGTCTCGATTATTCTTAACGTTTCAATGTAACTCCTAAGATTTCAATAGGACTTCTGGGTTTCTATTCAAATTCTGAGACTCTGAGTTTCTTAACCCATGATTTCTTAAGCATTTCGCAGGGTGTATGCTAGACATGTTCGGTCACCCCCGGAAACTCGACGACTTTGTGTTTGCTGGGGGGCCCTCTTGAAGGTGCTGTTGGAGGCCTGTTGGGGGCGTCTTGGGCGTTTTCTCGGCCGACTGGGGGCCATGTTGGGCGTCTTGGACTGATCGTTCGGGCGTCTTGGAATGATCGTTCGGCGGTTCGGGACCCTCTTGGACCGTCTCGGTAGCCTTTCAGGGCCCTTTTCGGCCTGTCATGGGCCTTTCTTGGCCCGAACATATGAACATATCTCGCGTCAAGCCGCAGCGTGGTCCAGGGGGCACGCGGCAAACCCCAATAATTCTGCAACTTTGAGTCCGGGCCGCATTGAAGAATCTTCAATATTGGGGACAGGTTGAAGGGGATAATTCGGACAAGGTTCGAGGACACTTGAATGAGGAGGCCCGAGTGGTCTTAGTTATTCAATCGCTTCGCTCATTCCGCGCCGGCCCATATTGCCTCGCCGCTGTCGTTTGTCGGGGTGTTGTTGTCAATGCGGTGCGGTTGGGCGGCTGCCATTTTTCGGAGACGGTGGGTGGCGGGTCAGAGGCCTCACGGAGGTTGGTTGGGCTCTCGCGGTTGGCCTCTCAGAGGCATCGGGGAGGCAGTTTTGAGGCCTCTTGGGGGCCGTGTTGGGGCCTCTTGGGGCCTCTTGGGGGCCTCTTGGGGCTTCTTGGGGTGCCTTTTGGAGGCCCCTTGGGGCCTCTTTGGGGCCTCTTGGGGCCTCCTGGGCGCCTCCTGGGGGCCTCTTGGGGCTGAAGGCTGGACTTTTCGGTTCCTGTCCCCTTCTTGGGCCATTCTTGGGGCCGTTTTGGGGCTTTCTTGGGCTGTCTTGGGCGCCGCTAGGGCTGTCTTGGGTCCTATTGGGCCGTCTGGGGGTCCTCTTGGAGGCTTCGTGGGCCGTCTTGGGGCGGTCTTGGAAGCCTCTTGGGCCGTCTTGGAGCGGCGGTACGTCGAAAAGTTGAGAACGCTCAAAACCGTCAGAAACTAAAGGGAAATCACTAATTTCTGCCTCTGTGGGCCCTCTTGGGAGGTCTCTTGTGGCGTCTTGAAGCCGCTTTGGGCTGTCTGGAGGCAATCTTTGGCGTCTTGGATCGCAGCTGGACCGTCTCGGACCATGTTGAGCTCTCTTGGAGGCCACTTGAAGCGCTCTTGGAGCGCTCTCGGGGGCCTGCTGGGACCTGGCCGGGACCTGTCCAGGATTTGGCGGGGACTTGACCGGGATTTGGCCGGAACTTGGCCGGGACTTGCGGGGGTACTGTTCGTCTGGGGACCTCCAGGGGCGGCCCCGCGCGCGCGAACTCGAACTGTTGTTCACCAGTTGCTGGAGATCTCAGCACGCCCTTGGCCCGTTGGGCCGGCGAATTCCTTGTGCGCGCGTGGCTGGATGGAGGGTTTTGTCGCTGGAGGAGGAGGAGGAGGAGGAGGAGGAGGAGGAGGAGGAGGAGGAGGACAATACATTTGGGCGATATGTTTGGGCAAGGCATCCGGACGATGCCAAGGGTGGGGGCAGCATCGGCGCGATACTCGGGGCAACCTTGGGGGCCACGCTTGGGGGCAGTACTTCTCGGCCAGCCGCCGCCCCCTTCACTCGTACCTGCGAGTGCCAGTTTCACGCATATCTTTATGTACCCCCAAATACCTATGTAAATACGTGTATGTATAAACATATATATATATATATATACGTATGCGTATACAAGACATATATAAACACGTCGACGCAGAAGAAGAGAAAGAGAGAGAGAGTGTGTGAGATTGAGAGAGGACCAAACAAGAGGGGGAGAGATGCCTTCGACCTGTCCCCCGCCGGTCGGGGACAGAAGGAGAAGCCTCTTCGTGCTGCGAGGCGTCCGAGGGGCTGGCATCTTGGGGAGGGGCTCTTGGGAGCATTTTTGAGCTCTCGTTTGAAGTCAGGCCTGTCCCTCTGCAGGGACGATTTTCCCCTATTTTTGATTATTTTTGAATATTGTTTGAATATTGCGAAGGCCTTACGGCCGGTGCCGCCGACCCTGCAGACGGAGACGACGAGCAGGACAACGACGTTGAGGAGCAGGAGGCGGAGGATGTCAGGGAGCAGGGGGGAGGAGGAGGAGGAGGAGGAGGAGGAGGAGGAGGAGGAGGAGGAGGAGGAGGAGGAGGGAGGACGAGGAGAGGACGAGGACGAGACGAGGACGAGGACGAGGAGAGGAGGAGGAGGAGAGGAGGGGAACAGAGGAGGAGGAGGAGGAGGAGGAGGAAGAGGAAGAGGAGGACGAGGAGGACGAGGAGGACGAGGAGGACGAGAGGAGGAGCAGGAGGAGGAGGAGGAGGAGAGGAGGAGGAGGAGGAGGAGAGGTGGAGGAGGAGGAGGAGGAGGAGGGGGGGGAAATGAATAGGAGCAGGACAAGGCGAGCAGGGCCTGGGGCCTGGGAGACTTGGACTTTTGGGGGGGCTGGTTCCTGGTACTGGGTCCTGGGAGGAGGTCCTCGGGGCTGGGTCCTGGAGGCTCCCGGGGACCTCGGAATTCTGGGTCCTGGGGGGTCCCGTTGCCGAGCGTCCAGGAGGCCGGTTCGGTTCTGGAGGGGGACGGAGGAAAGAGGAGAGATGAGGATGGAGGGAGGAGGGGGGAAGGGAGGAGAGGGCGTAGTAGGATGCCTCGGCTCTTGGCCCGTCTGAGGCTTTGTGTGGGCCCTGGGACCCCCAGGGGGGGAATCGCATCTGACGCGGGACCCCCCGGGACCCCCCCCCCCTGCAGGGAAGGGATCAAAGGGAAGGGGCTTCCCTTCGCTCTATGACAACGTTACTCTTGAGGGGGAGGCCCTGGAAAAGCGGGAGGGGAGCGGCGACGGGCCCAGGGAAGAGGGGGAAAGGAGAGGAGGGGAGACGGGTCCAGGGAGAGGGGGAGCGCAGGGACAGGAGACGACCTGGCCCAGGGAAAGGGTGGGCGCAGGGACAGGAGACGGCGGAGACGACGAACGACGGGAACGAACAAGCCCCTCACACACGCCGACACAGGGTCGGCGGATTTCTATGTTTCGTCCAACATCCGCCTGCAGGGGGGCACGCCCGACTTCAGCCCCGTTCCTCCGCCCCGCCCCGCCCCGCGCTCCCCGAGCGAGCGGCCGAGGGCCGAGCATGGCGCAGCTCGGGGCGGAGGGCCCGGACCGCAGGCTCGGCGCCAGGCCGCCGCGTCGGGGAGCGCTCTCTGGGGCCCCGGCGCTCCAGTGCGTCGCCGTGCGGGAGCGAAGGGGGAGCGCTCGAGCAGGAGGGTTCGCCTCGTGGAGGAGCAGGAGGAGGAGGAGGAGGAGGAGGAGGAGGAGGAGGAGGAGGAGGAGGAGGGGGAGGAGGAGCAGGGGGGGGAGAGAAGGAGGAGGAGCAGGAGGAGGTAGGAGGAGGAGGAGGAGAGGAGGAGGAGGAGGGGAGGAGGAGGGGGGGGACGAGGGGGAGGAGGAGGACGAGCAGGAGGAGGAGGGGAGGAGGGTTAGGAGGAGGAGGAGGAGGAGGAAAGGAGGAGGAGAGGAGGAGGAGGAGGAGAAGGAGGGAGGAGGAGGAGGAGGAGGGAGGAGGAGGAGAAAGTTTTGGAGCGAGGAGTGGGGATGATTTCCGAGTGAGGAGAGACTGGTGGGGAGGCTTGAGAGGGGGGGATCGGCAAGAAGGTAGCAGGGGGCCAGATTGTAAGGGTTAAGGAGTGAGGATGAAGGGCAGGAGAGGTGAGGTGTTGGGAGCAGGAGGTGGAGGAGGGGGAACAGGGAATAGTGAGGGAATGAGTTGAAATTACGGAGTAAGGAGGAAGGAGAGAGGAAGAGGATGAGGAGGAGGAATGAGGAGCGGGTAGACAAGAGTGGAAGAACGGATTAGAGAGTGAGAGGAGGAATGGTGAGGGTAGAGCAGAAGAAACAGGAGGAGGGACCACCCCAAACGTCGATCGGGACTTCCAGCCCGCCCCGCCCTGCCCTGCCCAGGGAGCCTGGTGGAGCTTTCGGATGGAGATCCAAGCATTTCCGCGGTGCACGTCGGCGCGTGCGGACCTCCGATTTCCCTGTCTGATATTCCACAAGGACCTTGATGGGCAGCATTCCTCTCTCGCTCACCCGCATGCATCAAAAGCAGCTTCAAACACCAACGGCGTAGCCGCGGAGATGTCTCCACCACCCACCAGATGCTGCAAGTGATTCAACTACCGACGCTGCTGTGCCACCGTCTACCCCTTCGCTGGTCCGTGCCGCGAAACGAACAGGCGCAGCGTCCAGTGCCCAGTGTCTTGTCAATACTCTCCTTTCAGCCGTCGCCAGGCTACTCCTGGGTCCAGAGTCCGAGCATGCCCTTGCCACGATCAGCGTCGGTGTGCATATATGTGTATATTGTGATGAACCAGGGATCAGTATATATACGCATGCATGCATGATCTTTATATCTATATATATACATACATGTGGGTGCATGCGCATGCACGCATTGCCTATATGTACATACGTGTATGAAGATCCAACTGTATACGCGCATATGCATATACAACTACAAATGCATACCCATATACATATGCGCATATGTGTATGTATATACAACTAGACATACATCTACATATATTGTACATGCGTGTAAACACACATACATGTAGAAAGTGAGAGAGTAACCAACATAGCGAGCGACAGAGAAAGAGAGAGAGAGAGACGAAAGGAGGCCTCTTGAACACCTCTGGGAAGGCATCTTGAGGGCCTGGTTAATTTCTTTGGTGGGGGGTGTTGTGGGCCTCCCTGGTTGTTTATTCGCCTCTTAGGACATGCTCGCGGTGTCTGGGCCATAATTCGGCGGCGACAACGGCGGAGGTCGAGCACAAGGGCCAGCAGTTGCAGTCACCATGTGGATGAAGTGAAAGTCCTGGACATGACCAGCGTGGCATACGTTGCGGACCAGGCAAGGGCACAGGCTGCACACGCGAGAGGCCTGCCCTAAGTACGTAGCGGCGGTGCTCCAGCGGGACGTGCAGCCGAAGCTGTGGGAGGACTGGACCAAGCAGGAGGAGCACGCGAGCTTGGCACTAGCTCCGTACCTAGGGCCGGCAGGGGCGCAATGGAACGCAAATGGGTTTCAGAAAAACGGCAAGAGCGCGGCCAAGTTGGTGCTAGTAGGCGCGCGCAATGTTATTGTCCCGACGGACATGCTGGGGCTGTGGGGAAGTGGTCGGAACGCCTCATCGTCGCTTCTACTAGTGTCCTGCTTTGCGCGCGCCAAGGCTAGAGGCGCACGCGGACTGGCAGCACGAGGCCGAGCAGCAGTGTGACAGCCTGCTCTGGACAAGGGGCCTAGCACGAAAACCAGAGACGGAGTGGAGCTTCAATGGCGTGGATCAGGACCAATACCATTATGAGCGGAGTCAGGGGGATGACGATTACCTCAGGGGAGGCAGCTTGCGCGATTGATCCAGTTTCAGCCACAGCGAGTGGGCGTAGAATGGGGTGGGCGGCGTGATCGCTGAACGAGCCTGGGAGGCGGAAAAGCATACCGTGCGAGCTCCCAGTACACAGCTCAGTCAAGAGGGCCGAGCTATGAGGTTCCCCCAAGGTTCTCACGTAAGTCCGACCTTACCCAAGATTTAGGCGGAACACAAGGGGATCGTGGCAGGTTTGCGCAATGGAGAGCGGCGGTGGAAGCACTGGAAGAGCCGCACGCTGGCCTGTGGCGGCGGATCTGGCACAAGGTGGAGGACCGGTAAGGCTGGACATCGGCACTGTGCACCACGTGATGGCGCATCGTTCGGAAGCCAGCACTGGGCGATTGGAGGGCGAGGAGCAGGGGGCCGCGAAGGGCAGTGGCGAGGTGGACCTGCGAACGCAGGCGCTGAGGAGGATGCAATCTCCGGCAAGCATCGGTCACTGGTTGGGCTGGCTGCGAAGGCGCGCCACGCCGTGCAGGGCACTGCATGGCGGCACCAGAAGCGGGGGGAGAATGGCTTGACGCAGCGCATGGCATGTACTTCAGGAGGATGAAGCCGAAGCCAGAGCTGGCGATCATTAGGCGCACCGTGGAGAAGAAGCGCCACTGGATCATGAGACTGGTTGTGGGAAGCGGGCGGCCTCAGTTCGTATGCGCAAGAAGCTGTAGGAGCTTGGGCGCCAGCCGCCACCGTGGCGCACGTCGGGGGCGTGCAGGGTGGGAACCTCGGGCTCCTCCGGAGGCGCGCGCGGCATTGGAGGCGGCGCCGGTTGAGGTGGCGGCGGCCAGCGGTGACGGAGGGCACGCGGAAGAGAGCCAGCCCCGATAGCACGAGTTGGAACACAGGGCGGAGGCGCATGGCAAGTGGTACGTCTGCATTGCGTGCGGGGCCTGCTCGGCTAGGCGGAGGGCGGGGTTGGGCGCGCAATGCCTAGTGCTATTTGCGCGGCGTGGGGCGTTGGCCAAGGATGATTCACAGCGCGCGCATGGACATAATCCTGACAGGAAGGCACCTTCAGAAAACAAGCTGCTCGAGGCCGGCCAGATACAGGTGCTAGAACATCGAGGGCAACATGGTGGAAGGGTTTGAACAGATCAGCGAGGCGAAAAGGCCACGATTCAGGCTGCGCCGTGGCGCGGCTTGGGCCTGTCGGCAAAAATCTGTTGAGGGCCTTCGGAGAGGGAAAGAATGCTCGTTGGGTCATGTTGGGGGAAACAGGTTCGAAATGAAAGTTTACGCCCCCCCTCGTGGGGACGTGTTTGGGGCCTCTCGTTGGACTTGGGGGAGCGGGGGGGAGCGATATTGATTGTTTCTCCCAGACCATCCTGTGGTGTTGGGTCCTCGCTTTGAAGAGACAGCGCCCCGCGTCTCCTTCTCATCGCTCCTCCTCCTGCCCCTCCTTCCTCCTCCCATCATGATCATCAGCATCATCATCAGCATCATCATCATCATCATCACCACCATCACCATCATCATCGTTATGATCGTCACGACCGTCATCATCACCGTCATCGCCATCATCATCGCCGTCATCATTCCCATCACCGCTCACACGCTTCGTGGCCCCACACGGGGCTCCACCGAAGGCCCCAGTACCACCGTCCGCATGTTTCCCCCGCAAATTTCGGCCCCCCCACACGTTTCGCGCCCCCACCGAGAGCTCCACCGACGGCCCCAGTGGCTGCCATCGCACGCGCCCACCGCACCGATTTCGGCACACCTTTCACACGTGCCCACCGAGTCCATGCGTGTTACGCCCAGCACAACTTCCGTGGCCCTTAGGGACGGCCCCAGTGGTTGCGTCCGCATGCGCCTGCCGCAATCATTTTGGCACACCCCGCACACGTTTCGTGGCCCCATACGGAGTTCCACCGATGGCCCCAGTGGCTGCGTTCGCATGCGCCCACCGCGCCCATTTGGGCACACCCCTCACCCGCTTCGTGGCCCCATAGGGAGCCCCACCAGCCCCCCGGCGGCTGCGTTCGCATGCGCCCACCGCGCCCATGTTGGCACACCCATCACACGCTTCGTGGCCCCATACGGAGCTCCACCGACGGCCCCAGTGGCTGCGCTCGCATGCGCCCACCGCACCTATTTCGGCACACCCTTCGCACGCTCCATGGCCCCATAGGGAATTCCACCGACGGCCTCAGTGGCTGGTGTTGCATGCGCCTTCCGCACACCCGCTTCGTGTCCCTACAGGGAGCTCCTCCGAATGCGGTGCAACAGCGACTGCATTCACCATTGCATATGGTTGGGTCCTTCGCCAGGCTAGTGTTTGGCTGTCGCGTAAGTTGTTCTGGCCGAACTAACGAGCGCGCGAAGACCATGCGAAAACGAAGTATGTCCCATGGTCCTGGCCTTTTGGGCTGTCCCCCGGGCCTTTTGGACGGCAGAAGAAGCGACCAAGAAGGCCCCAAGGGCCTTGGGATCATCCCAGGCCAAATTCGCCAGGTGAGGACTCCAAACCACGGTGCCGAAACCTCTGGAAAGCCAGGCGGGGGGAACACAACGCCCAGGAGCATTGGGGGTCCTGGGGAAATCCACCCAGCGCCCACGGCAAGCTGCCCGCGGCGAATGGTTGGCGCCATCTTCAGGAGGGGAAAAAACGCACAGACACAATTAATCGTCGATTCCCCGGAAAATATGGGAAAATATGGGAAGTGGGGGGGAAGACAGAAACCCAGAACATATGGGAAAAGATTGGGAATCGGGTCAGTTGTGTCTATTTATTTGTGTGTCCCAGGGCCCCTTGAGTTTGGTTCGACGGATAGCAGCGGCACATGAGATACCCGTGGAATCCACTATGGCTACAGTTTTTGTGATGTGGGGCGTGATGGTCGTGCTCCCAATGACGCGCATCTGGCAGGAACGCCCGGCAGAGTCGGCCGCGTGCGGGTTGATTGGTGGGGCGCTGAGATGCTTGGAAGCTGGCCCCTCAGTAGGCACCGCGTTGCCCGTCAGACCGCGCGATCGAACCCCCCAGCTAGTTGAAAGAGGTTGTTTTGCATTTGGCCCATCAGTCGCGGTTGCTTGGGTGCCCTTGTCCGCTCGCCACACAAATGCGGACATTGGGGCAACAAGGACAGCGGGGAAACAGGGAGAAGGGAAGGAAGAGGGGGGGGGCAGCAGAGGGGAGCCCCCACCCCCGCCCCGCGAGGGGGCGGAGAAGGGGCAGGAGGGTGAGGGGACGGGAGGGGTGGAATACAGTGGGGGCGCGCATCAAGAAACCATCTGCTTTTCGTCAGGGTATCCTGAGTGTCTTCGCTCCTCGCGCTGCGCGGTGACTTCCCGCAGCCGTTGAAGGAGCTGCTGCGTTCAGGGTGCTCCAGGTTTCCCCTCAGGTGCACCTTGCGCACGGGTTCTCAGGGTTGGGTTTCTTGCCAGGCTGGAAGGTGGCGGGCCCCCAACGCGCCCTTCAACGTTCCCATGGATGCGCTGATGCCCCCGATTTGAGCAGAGCAGAGCAGAGAGATGGGGGAGCGGCAGAGGGGGTGAAAAGGACAGGAGGGTAAGCGGCACAAGACAATGAAGGGGAGGAAAGAGATACCATAGTGTTTGTTTGCACAGAGAGCGAACGAGAGGGATATAGTGAGGATTTGTATAGATGTAAGTACACACATACATACACCCATACATACATGCATGCATGCATGCATGCATGCATGCATACATACATACATACATACATACATGCATACATACATACATACATACATACATACATACACACATGCATACATACATACATACAGACATACATACAGACATACATACATACATACAAACATGCATGCATACATGCATGCATGCATCCATGCATACATACATACATACATACATACATACATTCATACATACATACATAAACACATACATGCATACATACATACATACACACGCACATACATACATACATACATACATACATACATGCATGCATGCATGCATACATACATACATACATACATACATACATACACATGCACACACATACATACATGCATATGTACACACACATACGCACATACGCACGTACATACGTACATACGTACATGCATGCATAAGTATATGCACATACTTTCATACAGTTGCGTATATAGAAGCAACAATCATGTCCACGCAAGCACAGCAAAGCTCGGATGATCACGCGACCATGTTCAAACCTCATGGGGAACCAGATTTCGAAGTCACTGTAGACCCCCACGGAAGCACATCTGTTGGGGAGCATGGTTCGTCGGGAAGGCACATGTTGCGGCAGCACGGCAGCCTCCGTCGCGGTCGAGGCGTTGACGATCGGACGGCGCAACCGTCATACCAGTTTTGACGTAGAAGGGCACCATCGGGCTGCTCCCTGGGCAGAGACAATTGCATCAGAGAAGTCGGCACAGCCCTGCAGGAGTTGCAAGCTGGAGCGATGTAATACCCTTAGCGAAAAAAGGAGAGGGGGGAGGGAGAGGGGGGCGGCTTAGCCAGAGGGGGAGTGCACCCTCCCCCTCCCGCTTTCCTCCATCATGCGCGAGACCGAATAGTGGCGGGAAAGCTATTTTTCGGCGCTTTCCAGGCCGCAGCCCTGAGCTCGCACTCCGTGTCGAACCTCTAACGAGGCTACAAACCTCCAGCTCTGAAACCACCGCGGATCGAATCTCGTCTCCGAGGCCCCTCCCCATCCTGCTCCTTCCTTTGCGCGCGCTGCGCCTGCACCTCCACCACCTCCTTCCTCTCTCATCCTTCTCCTCCTGATCATCCTCTGCTTGCTTTCTCCTCCTCCTCCTCGACGTGCTCTCTCCCTCTCTCTCGCGCGTCCCTCACCCCTCATCTCTTCGCCCCTCGTCCTCCCGCTTGTCCATCCCAGTCTTGTTCTTGCCCCCTCTCTTGCTGCTGGCCCTGCTCTTGCTGCTGATGCTCCTCCTCTTCCAGCCCTTTCACCGGCACCCTCCGAAAACCTCTGCACGACCACGGGAAGCTCCCAGAAGCACCGAGACATGTCCGAAATCTCTGAACAAGTCCTCCTCGTCCATCCTCCCCCCTCCTCCTCCACCTCCTCCTCCTCCTCGTCATCATCATCATTATATTCGTCTCTCTTGCACACTTGCTCAACCTGAACACTGCTCTCCTCTCTTCCCCGAAGACCCCTACGAGGGAGCGCGCCCCCCTCCGCGTATTGTTTTTTTACACATCGGATGCCTGCGAGTTGGATTTTTGTATGTGTTGGTTCCAATCCGAACATTTCGGTTCTTCCATCATTAGGGGAACCAAAAGTGACATAAACATAAAAACTCTGAGGTCTGCGCGGATTTCTCGGATCGGCGCTGGACCCCCCTCCCTGGCGCGCGGAGCGCGCCAGGGGCGGCGCCGGAGGCGCCGCTGGGGGGCCCCAGTGCCGATCCGAGAAATCAGCGCGGACCTCCGAGTTTTTATGCTTATGTCATTTTTTGTTCCCCTAATAATTTGCTCCCGCTGCAGCGCTGGCCTACTGTTGGGGCTTCTGGTCGATCCGAATCGTGCTTCCGCTGCATTGCTGGCCTCGTGTCCACGCTTCCTTCCGCTCGATCCGAATCGTGTTCCCGCTGCAGCGTTGGCCTCATTTCCGCGGTTTCGCTCGTTCCAAATCGTGCTCCCGCTGCCGCGCTGGCCTCATTTCCGCGGTTCTGCTCCTTCCGAGTCGTGTTCCCGAATCGTGTTCCCGCTGCAGCGTTGGCCTCATGTCCGCGCTTCCGCTCGTTCGGAGTCGTGCTCCCGCTGCTGCGCTGGCCTCATGTCCGCGCTTCTGCTCGTTCCGAATCGTGCTCCCGTTGCAGCGTTGGTATCATTTCCAGGGCCACGCGATGGCCAATGACATGCAATGCAACGCGTCACTGCGCAATGCCCCGCCAAGCCATGACATGACGCTCTGCCGTGCTCTTCTACGCCATGCTACGCCGTGCACTACCATGCATCTCGTACCCTCTGGGGATCGTTGCCCTGCTCGACATTCGACTGTGCGAATACAGAGGATACCTACGCCGTGAAAGGGATGGGAGGGAGGGATAGGACGAGAGATAAGACGCTTGCGCACCTAGCTTGCCCCTCCCCCCTCCCCCCTCCTCCCTCCTCCCTTCTCCTTCCTCTCCTCCTCCTCCTCATCCTCCTCCTCATCATCCTCCTGATCCCGATCCTGATCCTGCTCCTCCGCCTTCCTCCCCCTGCCTCGGACCTGTGCTTCGGCTGCGCTCCTGGCCCCGCGCGCGCGGCGGACAGGGCTGCCGGGCAGAAGAAGCGCAGGCCGGCCCGCTCCGATCGCCTGAGGGGGGCAGCGGGAGGGGGCAAGGTTTCTTAGAAGCCCCCTGCTTATCAGAAGCCGCGGGGCTTGTCTATAGATGTAAGGCCGGCGCCTTCGAATACAGTCAACCATGATAGCAAGGATGGGGCAACTTTCCAAGGCTGCCCTTGCGTCCTTGCCCCTTCGGTATTCGGCACCCTTCGGCATTCTGCTGCGCTCCGCATGGAAAACGTCACCATGGCGTTCCAAGGCCCTTGCACCCTTGCCGCGCACCCTTCCCATCCTGGTCAAGAGTAAGCAGGCTCCTTCTGAGAAGCCGTCCCCCTCCCCCCTACCCCCCTGTGCGCGCCGCCAGCAGCAGGAGGGGCGGGAGGCGGGGACCCAGACCTTCAGCTTGGCGAGAACCGAAGAACTCCTCCACCTCCTCCTCCTCCTCCTCCTCCTCCTCCTCCTCCTCCTCCTCCTCCTCCTCCTCCTCCTAGACTCGTTTCTCTCGTCGTGCTCAGCCTCCTGGGCGGGCCTCGGGGCCGTCGCACAGCAGCTCGGGATGTACACCTTGGCCCTGGGGAGAGGCCGGAGCTGCCAAGGGTCCCAGGGTACAGTGGGGGCGCGCATCAGGAAGCCATGTGCTTTTTGTCAGGGTGTCCTGGGTTTCTTCGCTCCGCGCGCGGCGCGGCGACTTCCCGCGGCCGCTGGAGGAGCTGCTGCGTTCAGGGTGCTCCGGGCTTCCCCTCGAGTGCAGCTCGCGCGCGGGTTTTCAGAGTTGGGTTTCTTGCGGGGGTTTTGTTGCGGCCGCGCTCGCACTGCAACGCATCCGATAGATGGGGAGGGGAGGGGGGAGCGGGCGGAGGGGACTCGGGGACTCCTGCGCCCAAGCCGTGGTCCACGGCTGGGCTGTTCGTGGAGATATCGATCGGGAAACGTAAGATTCGACTAAGCCAGAACTCGGGTTTGCCGACGTTTTTTGTTGACGAGCGCGTCCTGGATTTTGACGGTCCGGTTTTCGTGGGATGCTTGCTGCGGGAGCTCGCGTCATTTTTTTGATGGCCCCCGTCATGCCAACCCGAGTCCCCCGCATCCGAGTCTTACGTCTCCCTAAATCTCGCGCCCCTCCGCCAGCAGCTCCTGTGCGCCGCGCGCGAAGCGATGCTTGGCAAGCCATCGGAGACAGCGTGGCCAGTGGCCAGAGTGGCCTCAGTCGGCGCCGAGCTGGTCCCTGGCCTTTTTCTCACCACCCACCAAACCACCCCAACCCAACCCGAAGGCCCAAATTTATCCTCGATTTCCAGTGGGGGGGGTCGGGGAACGTTGAAAAAACACATGGTATCCGTACCCCCCCCCAACCCGAAATTCGGGTCAAATTCGGGTCTTCGGGTTGGGTTGGGGTGGTCTGGTAGGTAGTCATTTTCACAGCCTGGAGTTTTGCCCAGAGGTCAGCTGTGAACTCATGGAGGTGGGCACGGGCGGCAGCTTCGGCTTTCAGCTGCGAGCTCGCTGGCCTCCTCGCCGGCAGCACGGCCCGAGTCGGCCATCCTCGCCGTCGTTCTCCTCCTCATCCTCCAGACTGTCGCGGAAACGGCGAAGCTTCGCATGCACCGCCCGTTCAGCAGCGCGCGCGCGCTCGCTCCACCACCGCCGCCTGCTCGAGGGAGCCGCCGTGGGCGGTCTGAGCTGGCAACTTCCCCACGCTCTTCTGGGCGGCAGGGGCTCCAGCGCGATGCCTGGCGAGGGTCCGCGGAGCACCCCGCCTGGGCTCTGCCGCATTCCGTGTAGGCTTTGGCGCAGGCGTCTCAGTTGGGGGGTTGGACCCCCCCTTGCCCCTGGTCTACCCTCCGCGTCGCTCTGCTTGGCGACAACCTGGGGGTTCTTCACCTTCCTGTCTCTCTGCGTCTTCTGCTTCTTATTGTTCGTACTGGTTGCAACGAAGGGCTGGAGGTCCGACTCAACCTTTGCCGGTTGCGCTGAGTCCTGACGCCGAGGCAAAGAGCCTTTGTTTCACAGTGTTCGCAGGGAGGAGGAGGAGGAGGAGGAGAAGGAGGAGGAGGAGTAGAAGGAGGAGGAGGGAAAGGGGAGACGGGAGGAGGGAGGAGGGGAAGGAGGAGGAGGAGGAGGAGGAGGAGGAGAAGAAGAAGGAGGAGGACGAGGAGGGGGGAGAAGGGGGGTATGAAAGAGGAGGGGGAGAGGAAAGGGTTCACCCATTGTCCTGGATAAGATCGCGGCGATGTCTCGCTGGCCCAAGCCAGCTTCCTTAGGTCGTTAAACGATGCTTGCCTCTTGGGGGTCTTCTTGGGATGCTCCCTGGCCACCTGGAGCCGTCGTGGGGTTGGCCTGTCGCCTCGTGGAGACACGTTGGAGGACATCTCGAGCCGTCTTTAACCATCCTGCGCCTCGCAGGGCCCCCGCCCCGTCCAGGCAGCAAGGAGGGTGCACGGGGAGGTGTCAAGCTGCCCAGAAGCCGCAGGCCGTCTCGATCGGTCCCGCCCGCACCCGCCCTCCCGACGTTGCGTCCCAGAAGGTGTGGCCACGTCTTCCCGTGTGCCAGGCCCCCTGGCGAGGTTGACTACGGCGCGTCCGCACGCAGGCTGCTCCGCACATAGTGCTGCGACGAATTGACGACCACCCGCCCGCACAGACGCAGCACCCGAGTCTCAGCATACCCCAGCGGCACCGATGCAGACCGCCAGGTCTGCGCCGCTGGGGCGGTGTGCCGCGCGTGCCGAGCTCGCCGGGAGCCCCAGGGGGCCCAAGCGTGGCAGGCGCAGCCGGTGCGCCATGTGCGCCAACTGCGCGAACTGTGCCGCGTGTTCCAGCCGCGCTGGGTGCGCGGCCCCCCCACCCCACCAATATCCTTGTCAAAAGCATGGGCGCGTGGCCCCTGGACTCCGAAGCCTCCCGAGGCCCTCTCTGGTTTTTCTTCACACTTCAAGGCCTTGGCAAAAGCATGTGCAGCACGGCAGGGTGCAGCCTTCCTCGTGTGTGGCAGGCGCACCCGCGATCACGCTGCCTTCGCTTGTGACAGGGGTGTGGGCCTGCGCGCATCGGGCAATACCCGCCGCCCCCGCCGCCAATGTGGAGCAACACTGCGCAGAGATCGCGGGGCGCCCGCGCATCGTCCAACAGTTTGCCGCGGAGCGTGCCCTGTCGGAGGTTGATCGACCTCCTGCCTTGACAGGTCGATTAGCGAGTTGGCCGTCTTCGGTTCCCGAAAGAGCGCCGCGGCCGTCATGTCTGCGGGTCCAGGTCCGCCGGTTTCGGTCCTAGGCCGTTTTCACCAAAGGGTGGTTTGTCCACCGCCGACCCCGTGCTTTCTTGGCAGGGACGGTGGGGGGGGGGGGCGGTTTCGGGACGGCGGCCGGTCGAGCGGGGGAGGGTGTGTGTGGTGAAAAGGGGCAGTGATCAATTTTCTCCCCGAAGGGGGAGGAGAAGGAGGAGGAGGAGGAGGAGGAGGAGGAGGAGGAGGGCGGATGGAGGAGTGAGGAGGAGGACGTGAAGAGGAGGAGTAGAGGAGGAGGAGGAGGGCGGAGGGGAGGAGGCGGAGTATGAATGAGATAGGAGGAGTAGGAGGATAGGAGGAAGAGGAGAGGAGGCGGAGGAGGGAGAGGATGGAGGAGGAGGGAGGGGAGGGAGGAGTAGGGCGGAGGAGGTGCTATGAGGTATTGAGGAGGGGGGAGGAGGGAGGGATAGGGAGGGGAGTGAGGAGGGAGGAGGCGGGGCTGGAAGGAGGAGGAGGGATGGGGAGGATCAGTATGGAGAAGGAGGAGAGAGAGGATGTAGGAGTAGTGAGGAGGATGGAGTGAGGAAGGAAGATAGGGGAGGAGTGAGGCGGTAGGTAGGAGGACGAACGATGAGGAGGAGAATGATGAGGGGAGGCGGAGGAGGCGGAGGAGGAGCTAATACGGAGACAAAGGAAACGCTTCTAAACCATTTCCGCCCAGAGGGGTGGTGGGATTACTGAACAGGTGGGATTGCCTCGAGCGCCTCGTGCGTCCCAGGCCCCCGTCAGGCCAGCGCGTTTGTGGCCTGCGGCGCAGGACCTGTCTGTCTCGCTTTGGTCGAATGCTTGCTGTGTCCCTCCTCCTCCGTTCCCTCCTCTCCCTCCTCCTCCTTTCCTCTACCTCCTTTCCTCCTCCTCCTTGTCCTCCTCCTCCTCCTCCTCCTCCTCCTCCTCCTTTCCTCTCCTCCTCCTTTCCTTTCCTTTCCTTTCCTTTCCTCCTCCTCCTCCTTCTCCTCCTCCTCCTCCTCCTCCTCCTCCTCCGTCTCCTCCTCCCGCTTGATCGAAGGATCGAAGGTTGACTGGTGTTTGACAGGCTGGATCGTTGGTCGGCCGATTCGCTGGCCGCTTGGCCCCGCTCATCGGCTGTGACGCGACTCCTTGCAAGCTCGGTGGACCGCTCGAGCTCGGCCGCCGCGCCCCACTTCTGTCCGAATGCCGCTTCCCGAGCTGAGCTCGCACGTGCGGAGCTCGCCCCGACGGGGCGCGCTCGGACGGAACTCGCACACCCCAAGCGAACGGAGCCTGGACGCGGCGGAACTCGCACGAGCGCGGAACTCGGACGGACGGCCTTTGCACGGGCGCGCCCGCGCGTCGATCCGCGGGCTCTGCCCGCGCGGGTTCCGCCGCGTGCGCGCTCCGCCGCGCGCGAATTTCGCCGCTGCCCGTCGGGCCCCCAGAGGCCGAAGGGCCGCCAGGCGCCTTCACGCCGCGGAGGGCCCCACGACGCGAGGGGCCCACGCCTCCTGCCCCTACCCCGCTTCCTGAGCTAGGAGCACAGCCCTCCTCCTCCTCCTCCTCCTCCTCCTCCTCCTCCACCTCCTGCTCCTCCTCCTCCTCCCCCTCCTCCTCCTCCTCCCTCCCCCTCCCCTCCTCTCCTCCCCCTGCTCTCCTCCTCCTCCTGCTCCTCCTCCTCCTCCGCCCCTCCTCCTCCTCCTGCGCGCTCCTCCTCCCTCCTCCTTCTCCTCCTCCTCCTCCTCCTCCTCGTCCTCCTCTCCTCCTCCTCCCCCCTCCTCCTCCTCCTGCCTCCTCCTCCTCCTCCTCCCCCTCCCCCTCCCCCCTTCCTCCTCACCCTCTCCTCCTCCTCCTCCTCCTCCTCCCTTCTCCTCCTCTTCCTCATCTTCTCCTACCTCCCCTCCTCCTCCTCCTCCTCCTCGCTCCTCCTCCTCCTCCTCCTCCTCCTCCTCCTCCTCCTCCTCCTCCTCCCCCTCCCCCTCCCCCTACCCCTACCCCTACCCCTACCCCTCCTCCTCCCGGGCCGCTTGAGAAGGAGCCCTTCTCGTCGGGGAGGGGCCCAATGTGCCTTGACTGTTCTACAGCTTGTCGTCGGTGGCCCCTAGGTGCTCTACACTGGAGGCCCATGCCAGAGGTGTCTCGCAGTTTTCTGTTGCCACACGTGGTCGTTGCTACACTGGAGGCCCATGCCAAGAGACCCTGCTTGCCTCCACACGATGCCGTTGGCAGCGCCTCCGGCGCTGTGGTCGGGAAGGCCCGCCGCCACCGCCCCGCGGCCTGTTCGCGCCAGCGATCAGCATCAGGGCGCTAGGTGCCAGGTGAGCGTTGCAAGAAAACGGGGTCGTCTTCACCGACATTGACGCGTGAGCTGCCCGCGTGCAGTGGGTTTCTTGGGTTTCGATGGTTTTGCGATGGAAGGCGTGACGTCCCCATCCCAAAAATCAATGGACGCCCTGGGGTCTCAGGGTTGGGTTTCTTGTGAACGGACCTCCACCGTAATGTCGCGCGTGAGCACCCTCCTCTCCAGTGTGGCATGCAGCGCTGGCGGCCCGCGTGAGCCACCGCGCAGGGTTCGCCACGTCGTCTCGCGCAGGACCCCTTTCCAGCCGTCGCGCGGGTGCCTTTGGCCCCGGACCTCGCGGGAAGACGCGACTGGCTCCGGGAGCACCCCCGACGCGAGGCCCCAGAGTGGAGCGAGCAGCCAGGATGGCGCAGTGGGCCAGAACCCCCGGGCGGCCGCCGCCCCGCGGCCTGATTCTCGGGTCCGACGCTGCGACGAGGCTGCAGCCTCGCAGAAAATCACGACCAGGGCCCTCCAGGCCCCACCTTCCTGCGGCACTCCTCGCGCCGCATCGACTGGTGAGGGTCCCGGGGCCTGAAGACGCTCGGTGCACGAAGATCTGCGACGGCCCCCCCCAGATATCGGAGTGTCTTGATTGGGTCAATGCGGGGCCCTCAGATGTCTGGACCTCCTCCCCAGGCCTGGCTCTTCATCCTGAGTTGTGGTTTGACCGTCCTGGGGCTCACCGAGGGGCCCGAAGACGGCGAAACAAGTCCATCTCGAATTTTGTTGCTTCGATGTCCGACAAAGACGCAGAACTTGCGACAAAAACGCCGCATTTCTTTCTTCTGTACGTTGGAGGTCTGGGTCCCCCGCGACCAGGCTCGGCGACTACAAAGATGTGGTCACGCAGGGGTGTGGTTTGCGATCTGAGGCGTTGGGACTTGAGGGGCACCACGTTGCCCTCGTCGGGAAAACTCGGGGCGTGGCGGGGAACTCTGTCGAGGTCCTCGTCCGCCCCCCAGGGAGTGCGTTGCTAACCACACCCTTTGCAAACCAAACCCTTCGGAGTCGCCCACCGTTGGAAGCTCCCTCTCTTCCCCGCGGGGAGGCGCATTGGGGCGGGGGAGCGGGAAAGACGGGGAGGAGGGGAGCGAAGGCGGAGGAGGAGGGAGGGCGCAGGCAGGGGGGGGGGGATGGGGGAGGGAGGGAGGGAGGGAGGGCTCGCGTTGCAAACCACACCCTTCGGAGTCGCCGACAGGCGGCAGAGCGACGAGGACTCCTCGCCGTCGCCCGCGCGGCGGCAGCCGCCGGCGGCCGCCGGCGCCGCCCCGCCGCCGGGCCCGCCGGCCGCCTGGCTCGCCAGCGCTGGACCTCGGAGCTCAGAGGCAACTGCAGTCACAGCTCGACGGTTCCCCCAAGCCCCTGCAGACGGGGTGTCTGTAAACGGGGTGGTAGCGAAGGGTGCGCTTTCAATGGTGCCTTCGAGGAAGCTGATCTGCCGCGCACAAGTACGAGGTAATCTTAAGTCGGGCCTGTCCCTCTAGAGAAAAATAGTCAAACATATGTTTGTTTTGAATAGTCTGGGGACGATGTTTCTGCTACGTATGACCATTCTTGATTGTTTGGGATTTTCGTTCAAAATCCGCCTGTAGGGGGACACGCCCGACCTAAAGGTGATCCCTGTTCTCGCTCGTAGAGGCCCCTTAGCTACCACCGCGAGTACGATCGGAAACTGGAGCATCTACATTACCAGTGGCGGACTGCTTCTCAGTTCCGGACCTTTTTGCGGGTCGGGGCCGACGTCGGAGTGGTGTGGTGTACACTTGTGTCCCCGCTTCCCTAGGGAAACGGCGACAACTGCATACGCCAGGACCCCGTAGACGCCAGGACCCGCTTTCCTGCGCGAGCCTCGGCGCGGGGCCGGGAGAGGCGTCGGTGTATATAGAGGTCGTTTCCCTCTAGTAGCACCCCGTCGTTTTTCAAAGGCCTGGTCCCCCCCCCCCTTGGCTAGTCCCCCCCCCCTGGCCTTGCCGCCCCGGGGGGCCGCGGCGGCACGCCTACGTAGGGTTCCGCGGCGTGGCCTGCGGGCGTGGCCTGGGGTCGGCGCCGGCCCTGGCACGGAGTCGGGTCTGTCCCTCAACAGGAGGAGCATGCCACAAGAGAATAGTCTCGGGACGATTTATCGATTCTTTACAAAATAATCTCGGGACGATTTGTTGATTTTTTTGGGGGCTGTTTGTGAGCGTCTTCTGGCTATGTGTTTCCTCTTTCGCCCAAGATCCGCCTGTAGGAGGGCATGCCCGACCTGACCCTGGTCCCAGACCTCCGAGGGCAGTGAGATCGTCTACTTTTTCGTTGTCTTTTGCCGATCGGCGCGGGCCCCAAAACAACCCCCTCCCCTCACACCTCCACCTTCGATCGTCGATCGAACCTCCATCCGCGATCCTCCGTCAAACCTCTATCTTCGAAGGAATCTCAATCCTCGATCGTCAATCGAACCTCGGTCCTCGATCACGAATCCTTCATCGCACCTCCATCCAAGATCCTCGCACGACCTTCCCTCCCCCCTATGACGTGATCTTGGCTGTTTTTTGTTCCGAGCTGCAAGCAGTCGCACTGAGCAGAGGTCCGGAGCCAGACCCCCCCGCTCCTCCCCCCTTTCCGCCCAATGCCGAAGCGCCGAATTGAAAGACGCTCATCCTGATGATTGCATGAGTCCCAGCGTTGCTCCTTGGTTTTGTTAGGTGCTAGTTTGGGGGACCTTCCTGGGGCCCACCCAACGGATCTGTTCGACTCTAGTTCGACTCGAGCCAGTTCGACTCAAGTTCGACTCAGCCACCTGGAGGGTGAAAATGAGCGCCTCGCTCGAGACATCCTCCAAACTTGCTCCGAACGCGAAGGATGTCGGGACAGAAACCAGGCAAACCGCTTGAGGCATCCCCACAAAACGGCCGCGAACGGGACTGAAAACACCCCTGGCGGCTCCCCTTAGGGATGCTGAAAATGAGCGCCTCGCTCGAGACGTCCTCCAAATCTGCTCCGAAAGCGAAGGATGCTGGGACAGACAACAGGCAAATCGCTCGAGACATCCCCACACAACGATCGCGAACGGGACCGTGAAAACACCTCTGGCGGCTCCCCTTATGGGGGAGGGAATGAGCGCCTCGCTCGAGACATCCTCCAAATCTACTCCGAACGCGAAGGATGTCGGGACAGAAACCAGGCAAACCGCTTGAGGCATCCCCACAAAACGGCCGCGAACGGGGCGTGCGTGAGTCTCACCATGAGTGAGTCTGAGTAGGAGTAGGTCTGAGTATGAGTAGGTCTGAGCAAGAGTATTCTTGTGTGTGTGTGAGTAAATCTGGGTATGAGTAAGTCTGAGTGTGAGTCAGTCTGTGTATGAGTAAGTCTGGGTATGAGGAGAAGAGGGGAGGAGAAGGAGAAGAGGAAGGAGGAGGAGACGGAGGCGTCCAAGTAATAATTGCTCACTGCGTGGAGATCCCCATATGTGCATCTTTTTAAAAGGATAAATTGTCAGTGGGATCTGGGAATGCGGGTCTAGCCATTTGGGCGCTCGGGACTGCTCCTGGGGCCTCTCGGGGCCTCCTGTTTCCTTCCGAAACCTCCTAGCGCTTCCTGTGGCCTCCTGGGGCCTCCTGTGGCTTCCCGAGGCCTCCCGGAGCTTCCTGGTGCCTCCTAGAGTCTCTTGGGGCATCCTGTGGCCTCTTGAGTTTTTCTGTGGCCTCCTGATGCCTCCTGGGACCTCGTGTGGTCGCCTGGGGCCTCCTGGAGCCTGTTGGAGCCTCCTGTGGCATCCTGAGAAGAATCTGCGCCCACAAGCCTGGCCACCGATCGAGACATCCTCAAAATCTAGCCCACCTGGGGGGTGAAAATGAGCGCCTCGCTCGAGACATCCTCCAAATCTGCTCCGAAAGCGAAGGATGCTGGGACAGAACATAAGCAAACCGCTTAAGACATTCCCACAAAACGGCCGCGAACGGGACCGTGAAAACACCCCTGGCGGCTCCCCCTAGGGGGGTGAAAATGAGCGCCTCGCTCGAGACGTCCTCCAAATCTGCTCCGAACGCGAAGGATGTCGGGACAGAAACCAGGCAAACCGCTTGAGGCATCCCCACAAAACGGCCGCGAACGGGACAGTGAAAACACCCCTGGCGGCTCCCCTTAGCGATGCTGAAAATGAGCGCCTCGCTCGAGACATCCTCCAAGTCTGCTCCGAAAGCGAAGGATGTTGGGACAGAAAACAGGCAAACCGCTTGAGACATCCCCACAGAACGGCCGCGAACGGGACCGTGAAAACACACCTGGCAGCTCCCCTTATGGGGGAGGGAATGAGCGCCTCGCTCGAGACATCTTCCAAAGCGAAGAATGTTGGGACAGAAACGGGCAAACCGCTTGAGACATACCCACAAAACGGGGCGTGCGTGAGCCTCAGCATGAGTAAGTAGGCCTGAGCAACAGTAATTTTGTGGGTGAGTAAATCTGGGTATGAGTAAGTTTGAGTGTGAGTCAGTCTGTGTATGAGCAAGTCTGGGTATGAGGAGGAGGGGGGAGGAGAAGGAGAAGAGAAATGAGGAGGAGCAGGAGGCGTCCAAGTAATAACAATAAACCCATCTTAGGATATGGGGAACCAGCACCCCATCTTAGGATATTGGGAAAAATAGTATGGGCACGATGTGTTGGTGTTTCCCCATGTCTTAAGATGGGGTTATTGTTTTTACGTGGACGCCTCCTACTCCTTCTTCTTCTTCTTCTTCTTATTCTTCTTCTTCTTCTTCTTCTTCTTCTCCTCCCCTCTCCTCTTCATACCCAGCCTTACTCATACACAGACTGACTCACACTCAGACTTACTCATACCCAGACTTACTCACACACAAAGATACTCATACTCTGACCTACTCATACTCAGACCTACTCCTGCTCAGACTCACTCATGGTGAGACTCACGCACGCCCCGTTCGCGGCCGTTTTGTGGGGATGCTTCAAGCGGTTTGCCTGGTTTCTGTCCCGACATCCTTCGCTTTCGGAGCAGATTTGGAGGATGTCTCGAGCGAGGCGCTCATTTTCACCACCCTAAAGGGGGCCGCCAGGGGGTGTGTTTACGGTCCTGTTCGCGGCCGTCTTGTGGGGATGCTTCAAGCGGTTTGCTTGTTTTCTGTCCCAACATCTTTCGCTTTCGGAGCAGATTTGGAGGACGTCTCGAGCGAGGCGCTCATGTTCACCACCCTAAGGGGGGCCGCCAGGGGGTGTGTTTACGGTGCCGTTCGCGGCCGTTTTGTGGGGATGTCTCAAGCGGTTTGCTTGTATGTTGTCCCAACATCCTGCGCTGTCGGAGCAAATTTGGAGGATGCCTCGAGCGAGGCGCTCATTTTCATCCCCCAGGTGGGCCAGATTTTGAGGGTGTCTCGATCGGTTTGCTTGTTTTGGTGGCCAGGCTCGAGGGCGCAGATTCTTCTCAGGATGCCACAGGAGGCTCCAACAGGCTCCAGGAGGCCCCAGGAGACCACATGAGGTCCCAGGAGGCATCAGGAGGCCACAGAAAGACTCAAGAGGCCACAGGATGTCCCAAGAGGCTCCAGGAGGCCCCAGGAAGCTCCAGAAGGCTTCAGGAAGCCACAGGAGGCCCCAGGAGGCCAGAGGAAGCGCCAGCAGGCCTCGGAAGGCAACAGGAGGCCCCGAGAGGCCCCAGGAGCAGGAGACCTCAGAAGGCAACAGGAGTGGCTCCAATCCCATGTGTTTTACGTATGTTCCTATCGATTGGGCGTCACTTGGAGCACGATTCCTTGATGTTATATTATGTTTCTATAGGTTGTCCTCCTACTGTGTACACAATCCTACATGTTTTACTTATGTTCCTATGGATTGGGCCTCTCCTGGGGCACGAGTCCGTGGTGTTTTACGTGTGCTCATATAGACCCAGATACAATATAATAACTTTGAAAAAAGGATGCACATATGGGGAGCTCCACGCAGTGAGTAATTGTTTGATTGTTTGGGGGCATTGCTTCACTATTTGTCACTTTTCGCCCAAAATCCACCTGTAGGGGGACAGGCGCAGGGGTGGCTGGGGGCACGCCGTCGCCCCGCGGGTCATTCTTTTCGGGCCCCGCTGTGCTCACGGAGCGCGGCCGTCTTCTCCGCACTCCCCGCACGCACGGCCAAGTCCTCCGCGGGGCATCCGCGCGCACGGCGAAGTGCTCCGCACTCTCGCCGCACTCTCCGCGCGCACGGCCAAGTTCCGCGCGGGGCATCCGCGAAAAAGCGCCCCGTATCCGCGCGGTCGCGGCCCATGGGGCCCGGCCCGCGAGGCCGCGGATAAACACATGTGGCTCGCCCGCGCCCCCCCGCCC